GGCAGAACAACCAACTGAAGGAGCCTGGGTGCCTGACACCTGCTGGAAGCCACCCCCAAAGTCCTGGGGTGCCTTATTCCACACTCCTTTAACAGAGAGAGGGAAAAATGTCTGTGTCATTACAGCCGTCATTACTTTGAATTTTCCCTGCAGTTGCAACCAGATTTAAATGTGACGGACTCTCCAAAAAGGAAGAGTTTGCACAGGCCAGATGAGTTATATTTCTAATTAATAAATACTTGTATACCACCAGTGGTGTTGCTGGCATTCTGGGAAGCCCTTCCCAAATATTCACTTGTTAGTTCTCATTGTAACTCTATGAGATAGGAACTATTATTATTCCCACTTCACAGGTAAGTCTGGGAAACTTCACGGGAAAGAGGAGGGAAACTTCTTGAAATGTTCGCTGTACTGAACACAGGTTCTCTGCTGGGTGTTAGGAACAGGGACAAAAAGTCAGATTTGACGACTGGTCTCCTGGAGCTCACAGTCCAAGCTGCATTGTCCAGCATGGTAGCCACTAGCCACGTATGGTTATTTAAGTTTAAATTAATTAACATTAAATAAAAATGTAGTTCCCTAGACATACCAGCCATGTTTCGTATGTTCAGTAGCCACGTATGCTTGGTGGTTACTGTACGAGATGGTACAGCTATGGTGTATGTCCATCACGGCAGAAAGTTCTGGCCTAAAGGGATAACTGACAGATGGACCATTTAGCATCCAGTGGCCAAGCTTCATTTCTTCCCTTTGCTTCCCTAACCTGCCCAGTTCTAGGGAAGAGAATGGAAAAAACAAAGCAGCTGCTTCATTAATTTGTGAGCTATTGTCAGTTTCCAGCTACATCCTTTTTATTCATCATCTCACCCTATTTTACAGATGAGGAGACTGAGGTTCAGAGAGGAAGTGTGACTCACCAAGCTTGCCCCTACGGTAGATAATAGGCTGTCCTTGGTGTTCTCGATCTCACAGATTGTATCCTTAACACAATGAAAGGAGTCTGGGAGATAATGAGAACAGCTAACATACAAAGTGCTTATAATGGTCACGTAAGTCACTCTCCTGAAGTTTGCTTTACATAATCTTCATCCTAACTTGGGAGCCTGAAAATTCTCCTCACGTCCTTCACAGAAGGGAAGTGACTTGCCCAAGGCCATCCAGATGGGAAGACGCCTGGTGTTTCTGTCCTTGTCCTAGGCAGTCCTCGGCCTGGCTGGCTTCTTCCCTGTGACTCACATCCTCCTGGGGGAAGTAAAGAAAAGCCAAGTCTATTCACCCTCCCGTGAAGTTCGAGACCCAGCCAGGTTTCTCTCGGTTCAAGAAGCCCACTTGGTGCCAGAACCGGGCAACACGGTGGTTCCCTGACTCTCTGGGTGGCTCTGGTCCCCTTGCTGTCTCACTACTATAGGCCCTGGGCTAGAAAACTTGGCTTTGGTACCACACCACCCACTTTTGAGTCCAAGGGCTGGCAGGGCGGGTTTGGTAGTAGGCAAGACTGGCCTCCACCCCCTTTCTGGGTTTACCTTTTGAACTTTTATTGTGAGCTTATCTTTAAGGGGGAAAATATTCCATAAACTTAAAATAGGCAAGACAATTAATAGCATGCTTTGTTCTTCTGATCCTTATCTGTACAGGAAGACACACCCCTTTTCAGTTTTGTGGGTCAAGGTGAAACCGCCTCTGGGGGCTCACACGCAGCTGCTCACTTTCCATGTCTGAACCAGGTTCCCTTTGGCTTTTCCCTCCCCGGGGTGGAAGGGTGTTTTCCCAACTCCTTAGCCTGAGCACTTCACACAGGCCTTTGCTATTTATCAAGTGCTAGCATCACATGCTATAATTATTTCTTCTGACATGATTAATAGCCATTGCGCACTGAGGACGTTCCTATAGGCCAGCGCTCTGTTAAGGGCTCCTAACACCCTTACATGGTGGGTCTTCTTATTTGTATTTTATAGATGAGGAAGCTGAGGCCCAGAGAGAAGAAATATTGTATTAGTTTCAGGTGTACAACCTAGTGGTTAGACAACCATATACTTTACAAAGTGCTGCTCCTGATATTTCCAGTACCCAGCTGGCACCACACTGAGTTACTGCAGTATTATTGACCGCGTTCCCTATGCTGTACTTTACATGCTGCTGCTACTTTTTGACTATCATGAATAATGTTGCTATGAACATTTGTGTACAGGTTTATGTGTGAATGTACATTTTCATTTCTCCTGGCAGGAATGGAATGAAATTGCTAGGTCACATGGTTGTATTACCTTCTCTCCTCATACATCCATTCTTTGAAGTAGGAAGTATCACTATGTCTCTCGCAGTTGAGAAAACTGAAATTCAGAGACGTATGTTACTTGTTCAAGGCCATGCACTAGGTGGTGGAGCGGGGCTTGGAACTCAGGCAGTCTAACTTAGATTCCACGCTCATCCTGCCTCCAGGGTCTCAGAAATTTTATTTTACCTGAAAGGTAGCCTTGTCCACAAGCCATTGCATCTCAAAAATGGAGAAAAGCTCTCTGGTACTAGGGTGACCCAGGCAGGTGTAGAACTTGAGCCCAGTGGGTGTTAGCCAGGAATCTTGTTCACTTCCTGCCAGTGACCAAGGATCTGGGGGGACCAAGAGAAGTCTTAAAGTTAAGGCCTTTTGAGGAAGGTATAATCTACTCCTGTTATAGTTTTCTCCTGAACTAGACCGCCTTGGAGATCAAATAAACCTGAGTTCCTGGAGGCAGTGAGTGTGTGGCAGGACAGTGGGCTCTGAAGGTAATCTGGTGGTTGGGGGTAGGAGGCCCCCATAACCTCTGCCCTGAGAGCTATTCAAACTCTAAATTGCCTGGCTCCTCCAAAGATGATAGTTTTCAGAGAGAAGAAAGTGGGATTGGAAGCCCAAGTGCAGGGCCCCAGAACAGCCCCTAAGGGAAAACACGTAGCAGGAAGCACGTCCAGACCCTTGCAAAAAAGGAGGGAAAAGTGGAACCAGGAGGGGACAGTCCAAAAGCTACTTCGGTGTGAACCTGGGGATTAGGGAAGGAATTCTGGTGGCTCAGTAGCTTGAGTACCAACCTTCAAGCTAAAGGGTCACAGGTTCGCTTGGGGGGGGGGGGCGGGGTCAGGGCACATGCCTGTGTTGTGGGCTAGGTCCCCAGTTGGGGGGCGTGTGAAAGGCAAACAATCTATGTTTCTCTTTGTCCTCTCTCTGAAAAATAAATTAAATTTGACCCCCTGTTGATACTCTCCATTTCGGCGCCCCATTTTGTACTTTTGTAGCACTCACCATCGTTCTATTTGAATCGTGCATGGGAGACTGTGATTCTCACGCAGAATGCCTGTTGTGTTTTTGTTCACTGCTGCCCAAAGCTCATTTGCCTGGCCCCAGGAGGCAGAGTTGTTAGAGAAAATGCAAACGCCTCATTAAATTTGGATTTTATTTAATTTTTTTTAAAGATTTTATTTATTTATCTTTAGAGGGGAAGGGAAGGAGAGAGGGAGAGAAACATCAATGTATGGTTGCCTTTCATGCATCTCCTGCTGGGAACTGGCCTGCAGGGAACCGGCCTGCAACCCGGGTATGTGCCCTGACTGGGAATCGAACCGCGATTGTCTGGTTCGCAGGCCCGCTCTCAATCCACTGAGCTACACCAGCCAGGGCGGATTTTATTTAATTTTAAACTTTGTTTATTATTTATTTTTTAAAGCTTTTATTGATTTACTTTTAGAGAGGGGAAAGGAGGGAGAAAAAGAGGATGAGAAACATCAGTGTGTGAGAGATTCATCCATCAGTTGCCTCTCACACGCCCCCAACTGGGGAACTTGCTGCAACCCAGGCATGTGCCCTGACTGGGAATCAAACTGGTGACCTTTCAGTTTGCAAGCCGGCGCCCAATCCACTGAGCCACACTAGCCAGGGCTAAATTTGAATTTCACACATTGAATTATTTCTTGGCATAAGCATGTCCCATTTGTTTATGCTGAGATTGAAATTTAAGCTTTTTGTATTTTATCTGCTAAATCTGACAACCTTAATCGTAGGGTTTCTATAAATAGTTGTGGAATAAATAGATAAATGGGATTTTGCCTTGGCTGTGCCCTAAACTTGCTGTGTGACTCTTTGGGCAACACTGCCCCTCTCTGGGACTGTTTTAGTCTCTTAAAAGTGGGAGTTCCAGCAGCGACCACGGCGCAGGGATCGCCAGTGTGAGGACGTTGAGTGAACTGTCATGCAGCAGACAGGGAGCTCCGGGCCTCCTAGCGCGAACCGAACACTGGATCTCCAGACTGACCTCCACCCGCTACTCTTCTCTCTCCCGCAGGGGAAGCCCCGGGCCCGCCCCCTCCGACGCCGGCCTGAGGCCGTTGCCATGGAGACAAGGGTAGCCTGGAGGCCCTCCCCCACTAAGCCACGCGTTTCCGCTGCGTTGGAGCCTTCTGATTGGTTGGCCATCTGGGCGCTACCACCAGGCCCGAGCCCGCTAGGGCGCGGGGGCGGGGTCTTGTCCCCATGGGAGTCCTGTCCTCAAGACCAGTGCATGTGGCTTTCTATGGGAGGATGGGTTTCCTGATTCACTCGGGGACAAAGACTCTGAGGTCGGAAGATTGTCCACTGCTTCTGCTAGAGCTTATGTTCGTGTCTCTCTCATGAGGTGAGGGCAAGTCGGCCACGCCCCCTCTGGAGCCCATTTGGTCCTAGGATCTGGAGCACCGGAAGTGCTGGCAACGTGTCGTGCGCTCTACCCTAAATGTTCCTCCCTCGGCCACCTTTCCTATTAAGCTACAAGATTCCGGGGCCGCCTGGGCGCTGCACCCCGACACTTCCGTATTGAAACACCGTTTCAACCGAACTCCGAACCTTTGCGCGCGTTCTCTCTTCTGCCTGAGGGTTGGGCCGGCGCCTGAGAGTAGCCACGCCCTTCCCCGCTCCTGACAGCCAATGGGCACGCGAACCCCGGCGAGGTGTTGGGGTTCCTCATTAATTATAATGAGGACCGGACGCTGATTGGCTGCAGATCATGGCCGGGGGCTGGGCGACGGGATAGGTTGTTCCAGAGGTGGGAGGTGGTAGCGGTCGTTGAGAAAGAGGCCTGAGATCGATATGTCCCCGGCGGGTGAGACAGAGCGGCCCGTGGCGCTGTTTCTCTGAGTCCAGGGCGGCCTGGAGGCCGGCTGAGAACGAGGGTTGGAGGAGGCTGCCCCCGCTTTGGTGGCCGCCATGCTGGGGGCCCGGGCGGTTGAGGGAGCCGCCGTGGCGCTCCTGCGACTGCTGCTGCTGCTGCTGCCGGCTTTCAGCGGGCCGGGGCTCGGCATGGTTGGCTTAGTGGGAGCCGGGCTGCCCGAGAGCGTTATTTGGGCAGTCAACGCGGGCGGCGAAGCGCATGTGGACGTGCACGGGATCCACTTCCGCAAGGACCCTTTGGAAGGCCGGGTGGGCCGAGGTGAGAGCCTCTCGCGGAGCCGCGGGATCCCAGGCCTGCCTTGCCGGGTGCAGCCGGCTGAGGGCTGCGGGCCGCGAACCCCCTTCCTCGACCCCTGGGGCCACATCTCTGGAGCAAAGTTTCTCTCTGCAGTTTCCACAGGGACCCGGTCACAGCTCATAGCCTGGCACTGGCTCGAGAAGGTAGCAAGAGCCATTGAGGTACAGAGTTAGCGAGAAGACCTCGCATCCTGCATTTTCCTAACTCCTCGCCTCGACCCGAGCTGGGAAAAAAGTAAAGACGAGGGCGGCCTATTGCCACCTCGAGGCCTCACGGTTGTAGGTTATCTGTGTCCCTGGCGCGGGTGGTTCTCTCCGCTCAAGTCAGTTCCTGGTGGAATTTTGCCGACCCCAAACATCGCCCGCTTTCCTTACTCGTTCTGCAGGAGTGGGGCTTGATACTTAGCCAGAATAGAAAGGAATCTTTGAAGAGGACGAGCCAGAAAAGTTTGATCACAGCCTTCTTTCCCCGCCCCGCTTTGGAGCGAGGGCTATGTGTGCTTAAAAGTAGAAGCTGCAGGCCGCCCCCACAGGATGGTTTTATTGAAATCATCCTGCACTGGAGGCTGGTGCTGTGTCCACTGGGTCAGCCAGCGTAAGTTCTGAGTATTTTGAGAGTGTGTAGAACTTAAACTAAGTGGTCCAGAGAGGTGTGATTCCAGCTTATGGGAAAAATGATTTTGACTTAACTGATTGAGCAATAGTGGTTTTTACAGAGCCGTACAATTCTCTCCAAGTTGGTGGAACAATTGCCAGGAGAGCTGGTTAAAAATGCAAACCCCAGATCTAAGAAATTAAGCCCAGGTTTCTGTACCAGAGGCATCTGATCTAAGCCATCCTCAGGCCACACCACTCTTTGGGCAAATCCACTAGATCTGGACTCTGTTTCTTCTGTAAGTATGATTGGAAAACGGGTTGAAGAAGGAGTCCCTTACTTCATAATGTTGGAAGATTTATGCCGTATGCCCGGTTCACAGGCTGACAGATTGGCAATATGCCATCTCCAAAAGACTAGGAGACAGACTTTCTCAAACTTTCTTTCCACGATGCCCAGATTTAGCTCTTGTCTTGACTAAAGTATTTAACTTGGTTATTCCAGGTTAATTGCAGTGTCTTGGGATTTGCTATATTCTATACCCAGAGTATATTAGGGAGTTTATAGCTTACATATATGTGAGGACGTTGGGACAAAGAGCTATTTTCTGAAGTTCTGTGTTTGTCTTGGAATTTATGTAGCCCTGGCATGTAGGTCTCAGTAGGCTGGGTTGAGCTGAGTCAGGGGCCCCGTCTTTAGCAGCCGTAACAGCCGCCAAAGCCAGACTTCCTAGCAGGCAGTGCTACTATCTCCATTTGGACCCTTCCTCTTCGTGGGCATGGGCCCTTGAGGAAATTAGAAACGAAACGTTTTGGACTTTGCCTCCTGAGACAGCTGTGGTGAGGACTGTGTGCAGATGGTTCCTTTCATTTAATCAGATACCAGGCTTTTAGGTCCGTTGTACAGAGGAGGAAGTTAGGACCACGCTGGTTTGGTTCCTCGCTACTCCTCTTATTCAGAAATCCTGGTTTTAATTTGCTGGTACACGTGGTGGGTTTTTAAAAAATTTGTATTTACTTATTATTTTTTTTTGTTTTTGGCCTGATCAGCAGTGACCAGGCTCCCTATCCTTGGGTTATTGGCCCATGTTGCAGTTCCTTCTGAGCTTTTTTGTAACAAGTAGAATTACACAAGACCTAACAAAGCTCAAGGGTACTGGAGTCCTATCCCTGGCCTTTGAGGCAGTCTGCCGTTGGAGGTTCCGTGCTCCAGTCCATCAGTTTGGGTCAGAACTGGAGCAGTATTAAGGCATGCGTGAAGAGTGGAAGATGCTTTTCTGCTGCCACTTGGACCAGCCTGTTGCAAATATTGTGCTTCTGGGTGCCTGAGAGGAGCATTTTGCTGGCATTAGGTCTGAGGCTGAGATGTGATTAAGCTTCCACTCTCAGGAGGCAGCTCTCTAGTTTCTTCTGTGCTAAGGAGTGTGGCACCACCCAGGGAAGCGCAGCTGTTCGCACTGCTTTCCTTCTCTGGCACTGTTCGGATAAGGGCGCGCCAGCGATTTGGAGACCTGTGCCTCGTGTAGCTATTCACACTGATTGCAGTGGAAGCTGTATGCTTATATCTTTTCCCACACGCCTGTGATACTGTTTCCAGCGTGCTAAAGAAAGTTCGTTTTATGTTGAATGATTTCAGGTATTTGTTGCCAAGTTAATCCAGATAAGGGTTTGGCCTGCTTTTGAACTTGCTCTTTCTCTGTAGTGTTTTTGTAGTTCAGCATTCATATCACTGTGAGTGGCCCAGGGCACCTAGTGGCTTTAGCATTCAAAGGCGCTTGGCAATGTTTATTGAACTACATCCGTGCGAGGATACTTAGTGTTCACAGGAGATACTGACAGCCTGGGAAAGGCTTTGTCAACCTGTGCGCTTCTACAGATGAAAGTACCATTACGGAGAGTGTGGCTCAGAAGTGCTCGATTTGGGATTTTGGCTTGCTGCACATTCTGGGTTCTTTTTAACTGGCTGCTTCTGGGTTCCTTTTGATTCTAAGGGAAAGAAGACTGGGTTATTTGGCCCAAGAGCATAGTGCCTGGCTTGCTTTTAGGAGAGGCTATTTTCTCTCCATAGAAAGATGACCTGGTAATCATTTGTATTACCTGGAAGAACTTGCTTTACCCCTCTCTGTGCCTTATTTTCCTTAATCAAACTTCTCATGCTTCAGAAATCAGTGACATGAATCTGAGAACTCCCTTGTCCAGAGTAGGTTAAAGTGTGTCTATCTTTCTCTTTGCTGGATGACCTTTTACAGGGAATTAAAAGTAGGGCAGAACAGGGCTTCAGAAGGGAAGACGCTGGCCAGGGCCCTGAGCCTGTCACATTACTCGTTCTGTGGGCCTAAGGGTGACCCTTTTCTGGGCAGCCTTCCTTTTGGCCGAGGAAGGGTTTGGCCTTGGTGAGATAAGAGCTTGAAAGATAGGATGCCTCTGGTTTGCTTAGGACACAGATTTGTCTAGAACTCTGTCCCCATACTGTCACCTAAGATGCAGGCTTCATGTGCAGGCCCTCTGAGTAGCAGAAGTTCACGGGGAATCTGGGTAGGCGATGCCCCCATTTTACAGGTGAGAAAACACCCAGAGGAAATACTTCTCCTGAATCCCATGCTCTAGGACTGAAATCCTTGTCTCTCTCTCTCTCTGAAACCTGGTCTGGCTACTCCATTATCCAGGACTAAGAAGCAGTGGGCAAATGTAGGCCCCGGGACCCGCTTCCTCTGTGGCTGTCTGAGCCGTGGTGTGCCGACTTCAGCAGTGTGCTGTGTCCACTTCACTGTGTTCTAGAGAAATCTGTCTGGCAGTGAAGGCACAGGAGGGAGGAAAAGAAATCCTTTTTGCTGCTGTACTTCTTGGGACTTGGGCACATTCATCTTTGTGGCAGGTCTCTCGGGAAGGCCGCTTGGGCTTTAAAGGGAAAATATTTAAAGGTAATTCCCATGTTATTAGTAGTTTTTTTGTTCGCATGGCTGCATTTTCTTGTGGGACTGAGACTGCCAGAGATTTACATTACTGTCAGTTTCTCACTTTTTCCACTTGGCAAGGGGAAAACAAAACAAAACAAATCAAAACAAAACAAAAAAACCCCACGATTTCCTACACAGGCACAAAATTTTCTGTGTATCTAAAAAGCAAATCTAGTTAATGTTCTAAATTCGCAAGGATCACGCTCCCTCAGGGAGGAAGGAAATTCTTAGAACTCAGTTGAATGAAAAATAGCAGCCTTTTCATCTTGGTAGGTTTATGCCCGGGTGTCATGTCGCGTGAGCCCGGGAGAGAGCCTGGGGCTGCTCGCACCTCCTTTGTAGTGCTGCGCCCCGACTCCTCTTTGATTTCGGGAGAGAAATAGGAAGAAGAAATGCCCGGAGACAAAAGTGCACTGAGTTTCCTGTTACTTTGTCTCATTAGCGCATCTGATCTCAGCCTACTGTTCGCTTCCAGGAACTGTTAATAGTTATGTTTTTTTTTTTTTTTGAGGTCTTGACCTTAGCCACTGGGTCTTTCCGTTGCTTTTTTATCTCCAGATTCTCTCCCCCTCTCTCTGTCTTTCTCTGGGAGTTTTGATGATTCAGAAGATAATGTCCAGGGATGGTCACTCGTACACACCTTCCAAAGGATCTAGGGGTCCAATGTCACCAGAGTCACTGTGTGAGGTGGGAAGGTGGCCTTGAAATCTGAATTCTGAGCGGGAGGAGAACCAGGCCTGTGGAAGGTAGATTTGTGGAACCTTGGGAGCCTCCTGTGTTCCTGGGATGAAGGAGTCGGAGAGGTCCCTCTCCGAAGAAGGAGGTGGGACCACTCACCTTTGGGGCTGGAGTGCAGCGTCTTGTGTTTGAGGAAAGACCCCAGTTTAGTTCGATAGGTTGGGGGAAGACACACCTCATGCTGCATTGTCTCCTACCAAGTTCGGGGGAGGACCCACGGCAGCAGGGGTTTTCGGCTGTTCTGATAGTGACCTGAGGCAAGTATCTTTTTGCTTTTACCCCACCTTACCCCTGGTCAGTCTGTGAGATGGGAGGGCCGCTGCCCCAGAACTTGGTCATCTCAGGCCAGAGGTGCCAGTGGGGCCTGGGCAGGTTCTCTTTCCCGGTCAGGGTGGCTCTGGCCCGGTGGGGAGAAGTGCATGGCTTCATTGCTTTGCAGGGACCGTGTTAGGTGCTGGTGGTATGGTAGGAAGTTTCGTCCTTCTTTTCGTTTAACTGGGGGGAAAGTTCAAGAGAGGAGGTGAGGTTGAATTGTGTGAGTCTGTGGGAAGTAAGGTACTTGGACCTAAAGGAAATTGGAGAGCATCGCACCCTCCTTTAGAGCCTTTAGACCTTTTCAGTGAAAAATCATAAAAAGCAACTAATGCTGGGCAACTCGTTTGTGGTAAAGACAATGAAGAATGACTTCCCTAACAGATACCCTGTTTTCTAGACTCGGGCTTTTCTGAATAAGAAGAAAACATTCTTTGAACTTAATCGGCTTGTAGAGTTCCCGACCATCCCCCTTGTTTTATGAGGTTTCTCTGAAGTGCCCCCTCACGGGGAAGCAGGCAGCTGGGGCATAGCGCTTTGTTCTAATAATGAGTTAGACCTGTTCTCTTGAAAAAGTCATTTCTGAAAGAAAAACTTTCAGAAAATCCTGCTCTGGGGGTTGCTCTAGGGGTTGTGGGAGCCATTGGGGTGATTAGGGTTCAGTCGCTTTCATTTTCTCACTCCGGCTTCATAGTGGCTTTCTTGCCTTTGTGTCTGGTCTGCTTGGAGGCTGGAGCAAAGGGGTTGGCCCCTTCCACTGGGGGGTTATTAGCACTGCCCTGGAAAGGCCTCCGGCGGTTCTGGGGTCTCTGCTCTTCTTTTATGTTTTGCCTCTGATGTGATTCCTCTTTATCTTTTGTCCCCAGCCTCTGACTATGGCATGAAACTGCCCATCCTCCGTTCCAACCCCGAGGACCAGATCCTGTATCAAACAGAACGGTACAACGAGGAGACCTTCGGCTACGAAGTGCCCATCAAGGACGAGGGGGACTACGTGCTGGTGTTGAAGTTCGCCGAGGTCTACTTCGCACAGTCCCAGCAGAAGGTGAGGCCTGGTCAGCGCCCCGCCCCCCTGACCAGTGAGATGGCGCCAGTCAGTCCTCTGAGCTGGGCCAGAGAGTGTGCAGACCTCCTCGGGAGGGAGGGGCGCCTGACCTTTGAGGGGGAAGCCGGGTTCCTTTTGCGGCTAGAGAAGCCGTGTCCCACTGCTCGGGAGGCGGCACTTGCCCGGAGTTGGGGACAGAGGACTCTTCCCAGCGAGCCCACCCTGTCCGTCGAGGCTCTCCGGGTTGTCTTTCTTCTTGGTGTCTGCACCTTCTTGTGTTTAGCCTTGTTCTTTTCCAGTCCCTTCTTGTGAATTTCCTTCTTTCTGTGTTGAACTTTTTTGTTTGTTCCCTAAGGCCAGTAGGAGGCCTCCTCGAGAGTGAAGGAACATGGACTTCATGTGGCTCAGATAAAGGACTCCAGTTACCCTGGAGTATATCCAGCCCTGTTATTCCTTAAATTACTTTTGAACTTGAAGCCCAGGCAGGTGTGTGTTGTCCAGCTGCCGAAAGGGCCCGAAGCTAATGGTTTTGATGCCATCTCCTTTTTCTGCCTTGGAAGGTATTTGATGTGCGATTGAATGGCCACGTCGTGGTGAAGGACCTGGACATCTTCGATCGCGTTGGGCACAGCACTGCTCATGATGAAATCATCCCGATGAGCATCAGAAAAGGGAAGCTGAGTGTCCAGGGAGAGGTGTCCACCTTCACGGGGAAACTGTACATCGAGTTTGTCAAGGTAACGCCCCTGTTGTGCTCTCGGCGCTGAGGGAGAGTTCACGAGAGTTGGGTGGGGGGGGAGGGTGTGTGCTGCTGAGTGGGGCTGACTGCTGTCTCCCGTTCCCTCCCGTGTGGCCACAGGGGTACTATGACAATCCCAAAGTCTGTGCACTCTACATCATGGCCGGGACGGTGGACGGTGAGTCATTTTCGATCTGCTTTTGGACTTGGGCTGAAGGGTGTGGTTGAGAAAACCCTTGGGGGATAATTTAGCTGCTCAATATTTTGAGAACTATTACTTAGAGCCAAACTGTGGGGGCCCCAGGGTCAGCAGGCTGGGGATGGAGTGTGGTGAGGTGCTAGGGATAAGCTCTGGAGCCAGATCTGTGTTTAAATGGTGTTGCTGCCATTTAATCAGCCATGTGGTTTTGGACGAATTCCTTTACCTTCCTTGTAAATTGTGATGAGTAGTGGCACTTGTTGGTGTGCCCCGACCCTTATAGTCATTTGGAATTGTCTAAAACTTGTCCTTTTCTGTGTCTTTAATTTCCTGGTTGGCGGGGGGTTCTTCATTGTTTTGGTCTGCTCCTTCTGTTCCCGGATTCCAGTATTGCCAGGCCGCACTGGGCTGATGTTCATTTATTACTGTCTCCTTGTCCTTGTGATCCAGCCTCAGGGTACGTTTCTTTCTCAGGGTTGAGATTATGCTGGCTGCCGGCTTCCCAGGCGAGTTTTTGCAGAGAAAGCTAGTGTCTCAGTGCCTTTTCTCCCCATTCCACGTCCGTAGCTTTTCCCAACTCATCCTGAAGGCACTGAGGGTCTCATCCCATTGTCTTGACGTCCCCCACGTGCTGATGTGACGACACCCAGGAAGGCGTCATGCATCCCACAGATTCTCGGTTTGAGTCCCTGAAGAGGAGATAGAAGAGGGGTAGTGTGTGTGAGACAGCCCAGGCCTCTGTGCTTCGACTTTGCCTCAGCTGCTCTGTGAATCAAAAGAGAATGTGGGATTGTGGCGGGGGGTGTTATCATCTCTGTCCAGTCTGTCCTCTTGGGGACCTGGGAAAGTAAGACAGGTAGGGGAGAGAGTGACCCTCCCCGTGTGCAGGGCTTTTACTACTTCTTAGCTGAATCTAAAGAAGGCGGATGTATTCCGGAATCTGCAGTTCTCTAGGCCAGAAGCTATTTCTGCTCCTTCTGCCCCTTCCCGTGGGCCCTGGTTAGGTCAGAGCGTCTCTTTATTGTGACTCATTTACCACATTTCAGGGTCTCCCGTAAAATGCCGTGGGTCTTATTAAACAGTGTCCTCCTTCTTGTGTCAGATGTACCAAAGCTGCAGCCTCATCCAGGATTGGAGAAGAAGGAAGAGGAAGAGGAGGAAGAAGAATACGATGAAGGATCTAACCTGAAAAGACAGACCAATAAGAACCGCGTGCAGTCAGGCCCCCGCACGCCCAACCCCTACGCCTCGGACAACAGCAGCCTCATGTTCCCCATCCTGGTGGCCTTCGGGGTCTTCATTCCGACCCTCTTCTGCCTCTGCCGGTTGTGAGAATGAATCACCGTGTGGAGCAGGGTGGAGGGGTGTGGGAAAGAGACCGGACATGATGGTCTGGTTCCTATCTTTTTCACGGTGATTAACACAAACAAACAAACTAAAAACGCCACAAAAAAATTAAAGGAGCTGAAAAGAGGCAGAGTGAGTAGAGAGCAGCCCTCCTTCACCACCACCTGGTCCCAAACCTGCTCCAGTCCTGGGCCTCTGCTCCTGGACGGCCCCCAGCCGTCTCTTTATTCTCTGAGGTTCCTCGGGTAGACGGGTCCTACCTGGGCAAGGATCCTCGTCTGTTTACCTAGTGAAAAGGACGCTGAACTTGGAGCAGACCCCTTTTGTAGGGTTGAAATTAACAGCAGGGACAAAGTCGTCTTGCTGCCCGAGAAGACCAGCACTGGGAGTTGGGTATGTCCTGAACGCGTGTCCCGCTGCCCCGGGATTGAGAGCGGGTGTGGTTTGCGTGTGTGTGAAGATGTGTACTTCATATGATACAGATGAAAATAGAAGGGGGTTTTTAAAAAAAGAAAGAAAAGTAGATACTTTCCTACTTGGAAGCCTTTCTGGTTTTAGCCCGTTGACGGTTCCAATTTCCTGTCTCAGCTTTTTGTCACCCCCTGCGTCCCTGGCGAGGGCCGGTTGTAGGGCTGTCTGGTGTCCGAGACGATTGGTTTATGTCAGGACCTCAGATCACCTCCGACCTGTTACCACAGCAAATCATTTTGATTCCACTGTTTGTTGGGGACTTAATGTCTTCTCTCTCTCTTTCCTCTCTCTCGCTCTCTCTTTTTGTTTGTTTCTTCATCCGGCTCATTTGAATTCTCTCTCAACCATCTCACTAAATTATTGCCAAGGGAAGAGACACGAGGACTTGGGATCCCCTCTGCTCGAATGTCTTATCATCCGCCACTTCACCTTGACGGTACCTCCCTCCCTGGGTCTCTGAGCCAGCAGCAGGAAGACCCGACCCAAGCAGTCCTTGCACCGGCCCCTTTGCAGGGTCTTGCTGCCAGGGGGCAGAGATGCTTTCCAGCCTGCAGCTACAGAACACTTGACCTTAACAGTCTCTTCTGGTCTTTGGATTAGAAAAGGCTTATGTAAGCATAATTTAGGAGCAACCTCAGAGACTTGAGCCCTACAAAGTGACTGACCACTGTTTAGAATGTCTGGTATCTGGTGTTCATTTATTCCTCTGTCCTTTTATGTCACAGTTCGGCCAGTTCTGGGTCCTGCCTATCCTGAGGAACTAGACCGACTCTACCTGGCCCAGGGCCGCTGCTCGCTGGTCTTAATAATACACCCCCTGTCCTTTCATTTTCCTCTGCAAGTAGCAGTCAGGTTCTTGGTGTGACAGGAGGGACAGACTTCCAGGCAGCCGTCGTCCCGGCGCGGCTCTGAGGCCAACCGTAGTGTCTAAGTGTCCGTCTTGAATTCCCTGGAAAGGTTTCTGCAGGAAGTGATTCTTCCCTGCTGCCCCGGCTCTGGTCCCTGTCCTCTGTTTCCCAGCTGCAAGGAGTTCTGTGGATGGAAGGCAGCAGGGTTGGCTTCTGCTCGGGCTGGAGCAGCAAAGAATCTCAGGCCAGGGCAATTTGGTAAAGATGTTTGATTTCCAGTTGGTCTTGTTTTGGATATGTTTTGTAAAGGGCCCCATCTCTTTGAACTACTTCTTATGTGACAAAGTAAGTAATCCTCGGGCTCACGTCCTGGGCTTTGGCTTTTCATGAGTGAGCCTGGGCTGGCATTTCGTCCTCTGACTGTCGTGGCCCTCTGTTTCGGCCGTGACTTCAGCCTCAGTACTAGGCTGTTGAGTCAGGCAGCCGGGTGGTCGTGGCCTAAGGCCGAGATCGGGAAGGTGGAGTGCAGTACAAAGCTTCCTGCTGAAAGGATGGCCTAGCCTCCATCCTGGGACCACCTGCCCAGGCCAGCGGCCATCCTGACTATGCATTGGGCTTCTGACAGTGGCTTCGGCTCCCATTCCGTCACATCCCATTCCATCACAACTCCCCAGAGCTGTGGGCTGCGGCCAGGACAGTTGATCAGCTGAGAAAGGAAGACTCGCTGCCTCCATTCTGCCTTGCTAGTTTGCCTGGGTCTCGCTGAGGAAGGGGGGTTCCCCACCTCCTCACCTCAGCGCATCCCTTCAGTGACTCAGAGTCTCAGAAGGACACCCTGGCTCCTGGGGCCATTTCCTAACGGTACTGTAAGCCAAGCAGCTCAGCTTCTGCCTCTGTTTCCAAGCCCACCCTTTTCCCCGGACCTTGGGGTAGGGATGGGCACTTTCCTCTTTGGTTGTATCTGAAAGGAAGGAACATCTTTCTTTGGCCGACAAAAACTAAAGGGGAAATGAGGTAACAGGAAGAAATGGTGGGGGCTGGGGTAGAGTCCCCTGGGCCAAGGGCTGGTCACAGCTGGCTCATGATGCTGAACTTGAAAGCTTTTTTTTTCCTCCCAGATGATATAGGTACGTGAAATTTAGGTTAAAGCGGTGGGATGGGGCACTCTTTATTTTTATTTTTGTATTGTGTGGGCTAAGAATTACTCAGTAGTTCATCTTTTGCTTTTTGCACTGTTTGTTCCCACGCCTGTATTTTGAGCTAATGCTAGGACAGAGAGCCTGCGTGGCAGGGGGGTCTGTTGGGGTTCGGGGGTGAGGAGCGGTGGCAGTGGGGTGGGGAAGCGGAGGCCTGGGCTCTTCTCCTGCGTCTACGCTCTGCCCGAGGCTTTTTATCCCCGAGACCAGCTGGCCAAAGCTAAGAGTAGTCAGCCTGGGTGGAACTCCTTTTGTCAGAAGCGTGGCTTCCTTTGTGGGTGGACCACGCAAAGATGTCTGCTAAAGGTGGCTGGAGAGTTGGCCGTGTCACTCTGATTTGGGTCAGGGGCCAGCTGGCCTCCCACGGGACTTTTGGGGGCTTCTCTCATGCTGAAAGCGTTGTACCAGGAACCAGTCTGTAGGACCCAAGTCCCCTAAAGTAGACCCATTCTTGGGAAAATTCTCCTATTAAGGAGAAGCTGCTCAGTGGGTACGCCGAGCTCTGGTGACTTGAAAGATGGTCATTTTCAAGTGTCACTGGTGTCAGACTCCTGGGAGGACCGCGCGGCCTGCAGGGCCACCTGTGCTTTGAGAGCGTGATCTTAATTCTGTCGTTCTTGTTTGCCTGAGAGATACCGGCCTGAAATCCGGGATCACATACGAAGTCTCTCAGGCTGTTAAGAGAGAGCGCGATGTTTAAGTCAAGTTTACCTTCCTCTTTCTGTGCCTGGGAACTGTTCAATCCAGTTTCAGAATTGTGATTTGACTTTATCTTTTTGAAGAAGCTTCCGTTTTAAGGAATTTCTCTTCCTTCTTACCCTGCCTGTACCCTCTCTTGGGAAGGCCTGGCCAATGGGGCTTCTAGAATCTCAGTCGAAAGTCAGAAAATAGCAGCAGTATATTCCCTCTCGCAGCACTTACATACCTTTCCCTAGAAAATGGCCCACTTGAGAAGCCCAGGGAAGGAGTCAGCAGGCTCTCCACCCTCCCTGGGGGTCGGGGAAGGACCCACCGGGTCAGCACAGTGCCTTTTCCTCGCCTGCTCTGAGCCAGGTGGGCGTTCCCTCTGATTCAGGTCTGGGCAGGGGTCTTTCAGTCCCTGCCCTGGGGCTGCTTCCCCCTCCCTTCTTCCCCTTCCCCTTGGCTGGCCAGCTCTGACCTAATCCAAGTGTCTTCTTGCCCTGAGGAGCCTTAATGGCATCAAGTGGCACCAAGGAATACTGTCCTCCACGCCTCTCCAGAAGGACCCAGGAGAGCGGGCGAGCTTTCCAAAGGGAGAGACTAACAGATGCTTCTGTTTAAAAAAAAAGGGCGGAGGGAGAGGCTGGGGGCCTTCTGCTGTGGCTCCAGGGGAAGAAGCCGGGGCTCAGCAGCACCGGGGACACCTAGGGTCCATTCAGAAATCTTAGAAGAAATCTGCTTTTCTTCTATGGAAAGATATAATTAGGGATCAAAGAGCTCTAAGAAAATTGCAAAGAAGCCTTAATGTCCGAGCTTCAGAGAGCTCAGAGGAGTTTTCCCCTTTCAGTCTGAGCTGTGACTCTTTCTGCCTTGAGGCCGCTCCTGGTGCGGGAGGGCTAGGCTTCCTCATTTTGTTACAAGACGAGATTGGCACCAACAGGTCAGCTGCCCAGCGAGGGCGGGTTTCCTCTCTGTACATGGGTGGCTTGCTGCCGATCCGGTCTGTCCTTCCCCAGCTGCCTTTTGACTAGCCTACTTTGGGTTGCCACATCTTTTCTGATAAGAACAGATGATTTGAGGACTGGCTGGGTTGGCAGAAAAAGAGCAGGATAGATCTCTTGGGATGGGCTCCCCCCAGGAGTACAAAAGCAAGAAGCCAGGATTGTGCTGGCAGCCGGGCAGACAGTGGTGCCTGGCAGAGTTGGCAGAGAGGGCCCTGGCGCCGCCGCTTGCATCCAGGCAGTCGTGTGAGGGGGGGCACGCAGCACCAGGCAGAGCAGAACTCCGTTCTCACCTCTATTTTGAGCTTCAGCGCTTTACTGCAGGACGAGAAGAAACAATAACAAACTGAAGTGCGCGCTCTGTCTTTCCAAATCACAACTGTCGGGAAAGGAGGGCTGAGTTGCCGGGTGACGGGAGAACTGGCAGGGAGACACGGTACGGTGAAACCAGGAATGAGACGTTCTTCACTCCTCCTCCCTGACCTGTTGCGATCCAGGGAATGAAAAGAAATTTGACCCTGGGTTAGTTTCCTCCTTGGGTTTTTCTTCCACCAAATTTCTCCCATGTTGAGGCCAGCTGCCCATTCTGAGCTCAGGGCAGCCTTTTCAGTCATCCACCCGCCTGGCTTGTCTGGGAGCCCACCCGCCCCTCCTGATTGGTCCTGGCTGCTCTGTTCTGTATACCAAGTGCTGGAGAATAGTGTCAAGTTCTTAGTAGCCCTTCGTAGTTCCTATTCGAGATCCCCATCCTCTCCCTGCGGAGGCAAAACTGACTCTGTAGCCACGACGCACATTTACAGCGGCACAGGGAGATGGACCGAGGGGCTTTGACCCTGGCTGGCCCGGGAGAGCAGTAGGGGTGGATAGAGCTGTCTTTCCTTCTGGGCTGTCTCCACCTGTCCCTACCCCTTCTGTGCCCCACCCTACTCCCACCAAAAAGAAAAAAAAAAATCAGGATGTTTTTCACTGTCCATTGCTTTGTGTTTTAATAAACAATTTGCAGTGACACTCTGTGTTGGGATTGAGTTTGAACTTGATTGCGAAGAGGTGAGGTGATGGGGTGGGAAAAGGCAGACCCAGGCATTCACTTAGCACAGGGTGCATTTAGCCTCATAGCTCTTGCTTTTCTTTGCACCTGGGTGTTTGGTTAAGGAAGTAAAACTCTGTAAACCAACTCTGTAAACCGTGCCTGGCCAGTTAAACCAACAGCACATTCAAGGAAAAGGAAACATTTTGTTTTGTTTCCACTTTTCACTGGAACACCAGGCCGTGGCCGACTCGCTACGAGGGACGCCGAGCCTGGCTGCCTCGCCTCATTCCCTCGGCTTCCACCACGGCCTGTGGACGTAGGATGCATGGGACAGGTTTCCCTGTTCCCTCCTTTTCTGGTGTGTCGCGGGCGTTGAGTACGCATTGGGAAGGGACAGAAGTTTCTCCCTGTAATTTATCTGCCACGTTTTATAGCCGAGGAAGAGAAACTCCAAATGCTTTAGTGACTTGTCCCAGGCTAGTCAGTAAGCCGGGGGCCAGGACTCACACCTAGCCAGCCTGCCTGCCTGCAAAGCCCGTGTTCTTTCTATAGCTGTAAGAATAATAATTACAGCTACCCTTCACTGAGTCCTTGAAATGGGTAGGTGGAAGTGCCAAACACTTTTACAGGTGTTACCCCCGTTTAATCTTCAACAAACCAGTTGGTATTAGCCATTCAGAGGAGAAGTGACTTGCCCAAGGCCACATAGCTAGCAGAAGGCAGAGCTGGGATTTTACTCGAGATTGCTCTCAGTCATGCTACTGCCTTCCATCTCCCCACGATGCTCTGGTGCCCACCTGTTGTACCCCTCCCAGCAGGAACCGAGGCTGCTAGTTTGGGGAGAGGGAGGAAGAGCTGGGCCGGCCTCCCTCAGCCATCCCTTGAAGGGCGGAATTCAGCGCTGAGCTTGAAGAATGAGGCCAGTGTTGGTGGAGTCTGTTCTCTGGGCCCAAATAAGCCAGAAGGCCCACAGAGCCTCTTTCTTAGCTTGAGCCTACCTAGAATTGGAGTTCTGGAGTAATTCAGGTTCAGCTGTTGCTATTTCAAGGAGCTCTGCGTGAGCTGCCAACTGGGGAAGGGACCTGAAGAAGCCCTGCTCTAGGGAGTGGCAGGCAGGGAAACTGTCTGGCAGAAGATCCTGGGCCGAATGCCGGGGCCTGGGTTAAGCCACTCCGTGGGGCCAGATCTTAATCTCACTGAGGAAATCAGGCTCCTGGGCGGCTGGAGCCGGTGTGTCGGACCTTTCCTCACACTTAGTGTCCTACCCCCCACCCCCATCTCCGACAGAGGAAGAGAGATGAATTTTTCCATCATTTACTGGAAAGCTGTTGCTATAGCGGTGGTCAGGGGTCAAGGGTAGAAGGGAGGTGGAGCAGAGAGGTCCAGGAGCGGCTCGCCCTGCTCTGCAGCAGCCGGAGTCGAAGGGCACCTCACTGCCACTCTGGCCCAAGAGTTGACTGTGCTTTGTTTGGCCACTTGAAATAGTAAAAAATAACCCCACTCGTTTTGGCTTTGGCCTTGTACTAAGACTGACTCTCCTGGGTTTCCTCACAGCTTCCACTTGAATCCGCCTGTGGTTTCCTCAAGGCCTGGTCCCCAGCTTGTTTCCTCTTAGCTCTGATTGAGTGTTCTTTTCAGTCACTGCACTTTCCAGGCCAGCGCTATGGCTTCTCCCTGACCCATGTACCTGCCTTCAGCAGAGCGGCCCTGGGGAAAGAGGCCCCTTGAATACATCACCTTAGTGACCATTCGTCAGACGCTGTCCCTGGCACTAGCCTCTGGCTTTTATTGCTGGTTTTTTTTATATCCTCTTCACACCTCTAGGGAAGACCAGGGACTAGCCTGATTTATAAACAAGACAAGCACTCAGAGGGGATAAATGACCTGCCCAGAGTCCCCTGGCTGGTAAGTGACAGAGTGAGTACTGGAAATCGGCTCCGTCTAACTAACTACAAAGCCTGTGCTCTTAACGCCAGGATGTACTGTTTTTAAAAAGGAACCTTCGAATGTGGATGACTGATGAAGCTGGGTGACGTTTACACGGAGGTTTATAATATTCTTGCTATGAAAAAGAAAGTAACCTTTTAAGAATGTGATACGAAATGCATAAGTACGTTTAGAAAAAAATTATATGGGGTACAAAGTGTGAAAACTCATCTTTCTCATTCCTACTACTCCAATCCCTGGAAGACAATACAGGTGAGTTTGGTGTGTGTCTTTCATTACACATACACACACATTTATATATATTAAACATGTATTTACTCTGCACACGTGCAAGTGTTTCTTTAGAATTCCATCATGGAATTACTGGGACAGTATATTCATTTAAAATTCTGAAAGTGCTGTCCTCGACAAGGCTACATGGATTTTCACTCACCAGTCTTGTGCTATGACTTTGGAATATGCCTGAAATTCTTTATGGAAACAGGTGGTGTATAAACAATAAATGCATGCGTTTTCAGAACAGCCCTCGGTCAAGGAGAGAGGTGACTTGGGCGCTAGGGGAATTCTGGCTCTCAGACCCGGCTCACAAGGCCCGCCCACAGCCCCATTCAGGAAACTACTGATGCCTTGTGTGCCAACTGAAGGGAGGCAGTGGGGGGGGGGTGCCTGAACTTTGCAGCCTCTGCAGAAAAATCCCCTCTGATAATCTCGCTTCTCTTGGCTGCACCAGCTCCAGGCCCCACCTGCCAGGCAGGCTGCCTGGCTGCTTTGGGACTGCCCTGGAAAACAAACACTGTCACACCTCTCAGTGACAAAAGATCCGGTGAAGAGAGGACTCGCAGAGCACCCAGCTGGGTGAAAGGGACGCCGGCCTTTCTCCTCCAGTCCTCCCAGGTGGAGCCCTGGGGAGCCTCGGGGTTGTTATTGAATATCAGTGTTAATATCAGGGTAAATAACAGTGTTCCTTTTTCCTTCAAATGGGGTGTTAGTGTATGTACTTTTCAAAAACTTTTTTAACTTTTACTTTTTTGCATCCTTCATCATTATTTCTTGATTTACAAATTTACGACATATATAATTTGTCCTCCAGATCGTCAACAATGTTATCAAATGATTAAGTGCTGCATAAGAACACTTTTTTAAAAAGAGCCTTTTGACATACCTTAGGAAGAATGGAAGTGACAGTCCTAATTTTTCCTACTCCTTTTAAAAAAGGTGATATGTAAATACATTTTCTTTTTGTATGTTTTCTTAAAGACACAGTCTTCTCCTTTTAACTGCAGTTCATGGGTAATGACTACACAGAAGACAGGCCCCAAGTCCCTTAGAGGGCAGTATTTATTTATTTTTTCCTTTGAACAGAAAAAAGTGATTGAGATTGAGGTTGCTTTTAATTTTAGGAGAAAATAAGACTTAGCCTCTGCCTTCCAGAAATAGGTCCGAAGATTTTTTATGTGTGTGTGTGTGTATATACATATATACACACACATATACATATATACATATATATACATATATATATATGTATATACACACACATATACATATATGTGTATATATATATATACACCGGCAGCCCTCCATCACATGCTTGTCACGGTAAAATAGCACAGAAGTAGCTCTAAATAGTGTCACAGACAAACAGACCCCCCTGCAGTCCCTTCCAACCTTCTGATACTCTCCTTCCCAGAGGGAGCCATGGTGAACACTCATGTATATCTAAACCCTTCCTTTGCAGTCCCAAATACATGTCTGCATATTTATATGCCTTTTATTTTAAACAAATGGGATTCTGTTTTCCTGCCCCTCTTGGTATATCTTTGAGAGACCTTTCTATACTAGTCCATACACATGGATCTCATTCTTTTAACAACTGCATAACTTGCATACAACTGTAATCGATGATAATTTTTTAAATGCTACAGATGGTCCTGCCGTAAAAATCTTCGTGCTTACTTGTAGGCTAAGTTCCTGGGTGTGGGATTGCCAGAAGAGGGGTCACCACACTTGTTACCATTCCTAGAAAGAGAAAAGCTGGGGTCCAGGTAACTCTAGTCCTGGTGCCCTGAGAAGGAAGGTCCAGGGAGCAAACGAGTGGGAAGGGGCTGCATAGAAAACCCCCTCTTGGTGATTCACTATCAAGGAACATATTGTAAGTTTTGAAATTTTTTCAGTAACCACTCACTGCTGAGTGGTTTAAAAAGAGTTGTTTGCAAAGTGCAAGACTTTCATTCTTTGTATACCTCTATTAAAATTTCCTGAACGGTTTGGTAAGTGCTGCTCAGAGGTAATCTCTTGAGGACAGGACAGCATCTAGACAGTGCCTTAGCCACATACTGTCCCACCAGGCTGGGCAACTGGACTGGAGTCAAGTTGGTATTTTGTCCAGGAACCAGGCTAGGCCTGTCAACCCCTCCCAGGCTCCTCCCATCAGGTGAGAGGGACCCAGCAAGTCCTGAGGCAGGAGAGGGAGTTTCACTCTGGCCTGTCTGACTGGGAGGCGAAGCCAGCCCTGGCAGCTGCACCGCATCAGTCAAGCGCAGGCTTCCAACACGGAAGAGTGTGGATCCAGAATGCCTAGAGAAGGAGCCACTTGGTTTGTGAGAGGGCAGCCTCTCTCCACCCCCGCCTACCTCCAGGTGGTGAAATCATGGTTAACTTCCAAGGTTCAGTGCAGAGGTCATTCCTGTGAAGCCTCCTCTTGATCCCCCAGCCCCCTCCTGTGCACTCAGGTAAGCGCCTTTGCTGTATGAACCTCTGAAGGCCGTCAGCACTCTGGTTTGTCCCCTGGTTCATACTGGGCTGAACCAGAGGAAGGGCCCCCGTGATGAATTAGGTACCTTATAGTCTTCCCCAACCAACTGGGAACTTCTCCATAGCAAGGTGTTGTTCGGGCTTTCCTTCTCTCATTCATTCATCCAATCAATAATTACTATTGGGAACCCACTACCCAATACAGTGGTGAAAATGGCAGACTCAAATCCCTAACGTCGTTCGTTTTATATTCCCTGTAGCCCAGCCCAGTGTCTAGCCCGAAGTCTGGCACAGTAGAAGTTGAGAATGACAATCTCATTGGAAAGCTGCCTTTGTACAGCAAGTACTGTTTTAACTTTTGTGTGCTACAGATTTAAAAACATTTCCTCAAGAGGCCTTGTCCACAACTTTGTATGACAGTCATTCGACCCTATGAAGTATTTAAAAAAACATCTGGGGTGATTTTGGGGACCTTGATCAGCTATGAGGGTACTAAGTTCGCAGACACGCCTACTGCCCACCACCTGCCTGGAACAGCGCTGGCGCAGGGCGGCCCAAAGCGGCCCGCTGGCCCCGCCTCGCCCCTCCGGGGGGTCCGCCCGGCCCCGCCCCCGCTCTCCATAGTTACGGCGCCCTGGAGGCGGCGGCCATCTTGGCGGCGGAGCGATGAGCGGGTCGAACCCGAAGGCAGCGGGCGCGGGGTCTACGGCTGGGCCCCGGGGGCTGGTGGCTGGCAAGGACGAGAAGAAGAAGGCAGGCGGCGGCGTCCTGAACCGGCTCAAGGCGCGGCGGCAGGCGCCCCACCACGCAGCCGACGACGGCCTCGGGGCAGCGGTCACGGAGCAGGAGCTGCTGGCCCTGGACGCCATCCGGCCCGAGCACGTCCTACGCCTCAGCCGGGTCACAGAGAGTGAGTGCGGGGCCGGCCGCGCCCTCCCCTCGCGCTGGGACACGGACCCCTTGCAGTTTGCAGCGCAGCCGGCCGCTCGCTGCGCGGCCCGGGGTCCGCCCTGCCACCTTCCCCTCCGGCCCACCAGGCCGCGCTGTCCCCAGTGCCGTCGGGTCGGGCCTGAGCTCCCCAACGCCACCTAGGCGGGGGTGGGAAGGTGTTCCTCTTGAGCTTACCTGCATCCCCCTGAGCCTATCCGCCGGTCAGGCTGGGCCGTTCCCCTTCTCAGCTGGACTTGCTTGAGTAGGGGACTCCTTAGGTTAACTGCATCCTCCAGACCCCCCCACCATCTTGGGAACCCCCCAGCCATTAATGAAGTTCCTGCTTAGCTAGCCACCTCACCCTGCTTCCTCGCAGCTCCTGCAGCCCCCGCAGCCCAGACCCTACCTGCTTTCTCTGCATTTCCCTCCCTGTGGCCCCTGCCAGCCCCTCCCCCCTTCCCAGTCCGCCTCGGCCCCCCACCCCTTGTTGCCCCAAGCGTTGCCCCTTTGTGTGCAGGTGGGCTCTTCCTCAAACACATTACCGGGGCATTTCATGCAAATTTAAAACAGTACCACAGCTTAAAGATAATAATGAAGTTTCAGTTTATGTACAACATCTTAAATGTGAATCCTGCTATTAACACTTGTTCGAGTGCATTAAGAATTACGTCAGTTTCAGAAGTGCGTTTCTGGTAGAAATGCAACCACCCTACACCTTTTCAATGATACAAGGGAGGGTGGGAAGAAATGTATTGCCCACCCCCTAACCCGGATCTCCTCCCCTTTTTCTGTTTTCTCCCAAGCCAAGCCTTGACATGACGTCCTTACTCTTGTTATTTCCCTGCAAGAGTTTACAGCCACCTAGCTAGGCCCTGCTTGCTCTGCCCCTCCCCCTACCCCTCCAGCCTTCCGACCCTGCAACACCAGCTCTCCGGCGGTGGATCTGAGGCTGCTGCAGCGCTACCTGCTGAGTTGCTTTAGTTGTCAGCCCCGGGCTTCTTATTGGTACTTTGGGCAGCAGGTGGCTGCCCCAGTGATTTGGAGATGGGAGCCTGGGGGGCGGGGTGGGCCTTGGTTGGTCCATGACTGTATAAAAGGAAATCTCCATCTCCTAAAATAGTTTTAATTTGATTCTGGATCTTTTGATTCCCCATTTTTCATCACTCTTTTGGGTTGGGACTGGGCTTTGCGTATCTGAGTATATTTTCGGGAGGTCTTACTGTTCACTTTCACTGAAACGTGAAAAAGCTGCTTCTGTTCTGACTCTGGAGGTAGAGAAGTGTTGCTCATCGCCTGGTTTTTTTAACCTGGTGCCTTGTCCTGATACCAAGGATGAATTAGGCTGTTCCCATGCCTGGCCTAAGCAGCTGTCCTGGTAGGCACCTGGGTGCTGTGTGGCAGCTTGGGGTTGGTGCTCTGCGGCTCACTGGAGAAAGCCACATGTCAGAGCTTGGTGACCTTTGGATTTTGTTCCTCTTCTTAAAATCTGTTCTCCTTTAGCAAATTATTTATTTATTTATTTATTTATTAAATTTTATTATTTATTTTTCTCAATAATTTTATTTAGTTATTTTTCAAGTACAGTTTTTTGCCTGTTCCTCCCATCCCAGCCCCCCCCCCCCCCCGGCAAATTATTTATTTTTAAAGGTTTTTATTTTTAGTCATGGCTGGTGTGGCTCAGTGGATGGAGTGCTGGCCTGCAAACCAAAAGGTTGCTGGTTCAATTCCTGGTCAGGGAACATGTCTGGGTTGTGGGCCAGGTCCCCAGTAAGGGGGTGCAGGAGAAGCAGCCACACACTGATGTTTTTCTCCCTCTCTTTCTCCCTTTCCCTCTATCTAAAGGAATTAATAACTAAAATCTTTTTAAAAAGATTTTTAAAAGATTTTAGAGATCTTTTTTAGATCTCTCTATTTTTAGAGAGGGGGGAACAGAGGGAGAGAAATATCAATGTGTCTCTTTCACGCCCTCCAACTGGTGACCTGGCATGCAACCCAGGCCTGTGACCTGACCCCGAGAATCTAACCTGCGAGCTTTGGGCTGGCAAGACAATGTCCAACCCCCGGAGCCCCACCAGTCACGGGAGCAGGTTATTCAGTGAGTGCCCTCTAAAAGTACAGAGCTGATTGCAGCCTTCTTAGCAGTCACAGAATAACCAGTCGCTCTCAAGTTTGCCACCTTACTGGATGGAGAGACAGCTGGTAAAACTTGAAACAACTAACAAACAGGTGAAGTAAGGTGAAGTGCCTCAGTGAGTTGTGCAGAAGATGCTGTCAGGAGTTAGTTACTGCAGAAAGAAATCTGAAATTTTCTGTGATCGATAGATACTCTTTTGAGTAGCTGCCCAGGTAGTTGGGGGCTTTACTTCACTTTGGTCTAATGCCCTCACCGCCATATCTGCCCTGCCACCTGTGTAGGTGTGGCCCACCATCTGGCCACCTGATTTTGTACAACCCACAAGCTAAAAACGGTTCTTCCACTGTTAAAGAGTTGGGGAGTGGGGAAGGAATATTTTGCAACACGTGGTTCTGTAAAATTCATGTATCAGTGTCCATAAATAGTTTTACTCCAGTACAGCCATGCGCATGCATGTACGTGTGGTCTGTGGCTGCTTCTGCACTAAGTGACGGAGCTGAGTGGCTGTGACAGAGCCTAAGTGGCTGCAAAGTCTCATTATTCGTAACCTGGCCCATTGCAGAAAAAGTTTACTGATCTCTGCTTTGTGGTACTTTGGCAAACAAGTGCTGTGTTAGCCATAAGATCAGCATAGGTATTTTTAAATGAATTGTAAAAAAAGTCTCGTTTGTGACATCCAAGTTGATAGATCATGAACGGTTTCTATGCCATTTTTGAGGTGTTTCCAAGGAAATCTTTCTTTATTTCTGCTTCTAAAACTGTTGTACTAATCTTTTATCCATACCACATCTATGGTCTTTTTTCTTTCTTGGATCCCTTAGCTCTCTCTTCACACACAACTTTTGTTTATAACATAAGAAATGTTTTTGTGTGTATTTCAAGTGAATTGTGTAAGAAAAAAAACCCTGAGTTTGCTTTAAAACTTGAGGCATGAATGAGTGGTCGTTTTGGAGAATCAGTTAATGGCATTGATCTTTCTTGCTGTCATTTTCAGATTATTTGTGTAAACCGGAAGACAACATCTACAGTATTGATTTCACCCGCTTCAAAATTCGAGATTTGGAGACGGGGACAGTGCTTTTCGAGATCGCCAAACCCTGCATTTCAGGTAGGCCTCTGTATTGTGACGGTCACAAGGCCTTTGGAGCTTGGATTTCTGTGTGCCGCTGCATCCTGTGTCGTGGACTCGGCGTGTCCTACTTCCGTGACCTCTTCTAAAGCTGGGGCTGCCGGGCATGCTGGTTTGAAGCCGTGTGGAGAGGCTGCTGTTGGTGCTGGTTGCTGTGTCCCACAGCCTTCTGTTTACGTCCACTCGTGTCGTCCTCACACCTCTGGGAGGAGTTACTGTCTCCCTTTTACAGATAAAGGAAACAGGCCCAGAATTTCCAAGGGACTTTCCTAAGGTCCTGTGCTCTTTCATCCTTCGCTTAGGAAAGGAATCCTTGAAATTAAACTGTAATGAGAGCAGTTCACCTGAGCCTTGAGTCTTGCGGACACTCTAGAAAGGTGATACTGCGCATTCCAGTCCAGATCAGGAGGCGGTTTCATCTGGCTTCTCACTCTCTTTCCTTTAAACAGTGACTCCTATTTCCCAGTAAGTCCTGGTTTGAATTTTAATCTTCACCATCTTCTGGGTGAACAGAAAGCCCGGGTCTATGAACTCATCTACTTAGGATTCCTTAAATTAGTCTTGAATAGTCCCTTCCTGTGCTTGTGATGCAGTTGCAGGGTGATTCATTCCTGGCTGCTGGACTACACTGGCTTCGGAGCACATCACTGGAGATGTAGCGCCCCCTGGAGCTAGTCCTTAGAACACCAGCACAGATAACCCTTCAGAATGCCAACCCATGGGCTGTATTAACACATTTTTCTGCAAAGCTTTTCTCATCTGGTTTACTACTCAGAAAGAGCATGTAAATTTGGTAAGTCAAAAGACTTCTGAGAGAGTCTCAGCCTAGGGTAACTGTATAGTCAAGGTTAGAGCCCTGGTATCACACCACCCAGTATTCTTTATGCTGCGTCATCTAGTACTGACCAGGGCACATAAGGCTGAAGCTTGTGGGCACTCAGTTTGTTGGGGAGGGTCAGGGCCCAGGGTCCTGGGTCTGGAGTTCACATCCCTGAACCACATGTCATAGTTCTTAGGATGGTTCAAGGACCCCGGGACTACTTCCCATGTGTGGATTTGAATTAAACCGGTCTCAGAGTAGTCATTTCAGTACAAAACTGAATTGTCACAAGAATGTCAGCTTCAGATACTATAACTGTGTCTTGCTTTTTAACTGTCCAGTCTTTGGCTTTAAGGGTCTGGATTCCCTCGGAATGTGCTCACGGGGAGGCAGTCGCTCCACTGCTCCTGTTCTGAAAAGATTTGGTCTGACTCTGGGTCACAGGGTTGGGGCCAGGGCTCCAGAGTCTTTGGCTGTGGACGCCACTCAGGCCAGTGGCCCGTTGCTCTTGGGCTTGTCACAGCTAGAGATGTTCGATGCTAAAAACACCTCTCACGTTGTACCCATGTTCAGCCTAGACCTCGAGAAAGTGCCTTGGTGGACACTGGGTGGCTTCTAGAGGGAACTGTCTTTGTTCACATTAGGGTGGCTTTCTGATTCATTCTGCAGATCTCTCCTGGGTTCAGGGATGGACGAGACCAGAGACCGTCATTACCCTTGTGGACCTCCGTTCGCGTCCCACACATCGGTTCACTGTCAGTCTGCTTCCCCCTTTCCCAGGTCCATGTTGGGCCTGGCATGGCCTGGAACAGGCATTAGTCCATGCACGTGCAGTACTCCAAGGCTGTAGGTCAGTGTCTTCCATTTAAGGAACAGAACTCTTCAGGGGTTTGCCTTGCTGCAGTCGGAAATGTCGTGCTCTCTGAGGGAGCCTTCTGACTGGTTGCAACTGCCGTGGTCTCATCCTTTCCATTAGTGGCCAGCATGTCAACCTGGTCAACAGGACTTCGGCCAGATGGACCTGGATTCAACTTTCTGCTCCCTATTTGGAGGACTTTGGACATGTTACTTAACCTCCCTGGGCCTGAGCTTCCTGATCTGTAAAGTGGAAGTAATAGTAACATCTCACAGGGCAGTTGTGAGGATTCTCTGTAGCGTGTAGCACGGGACCGGCATATAACAAGCGCACAGCAAATGCCAGCCATCCCGCCGTTGGTGTTCGTGCTGTTAACTGATTGTGCAGTTCGGACTGGTGGTGCCGAGATGGTGCACTTAAGCCCCCCCTCTGTGCACTTTCAGACCACGAGGAGGATGACGAGGAGGAAGGTGGAGATGTGGATATCAGTGCAGGGCGTTTCGTCCGATACCAGTTCACACCAGCATTCCTGCGGCTCCGGACAGTCGGGGCTACGTGAGTACCACTGTTTTGGGAGGGGGCACCTCTGTGTGTTTACGGAGCAGAATGTTCTCTGTTGGGTTGGCCTGAGAAGAGGGAGGGGCACAGTGGGACTGACAGATTTATTTCACAGGGTGGAGTTCACTGTGGGAGACAAACCTGTGTCAAACTTCCGGATGATCGAACGCCACTATTTTCGGGAGCGCTTGCTGAAAAACTTTGACTTTGATTTCGGCTTCTGCATCCCCAGCAGCAGGAACACGTGTGAACATATCTATGAGTTCCCCCAGCTTTCCGAGGATGTCAGTACGTATCCTGACGGGCACAGCAGTCTAGGACCTTGGGCCAGAAGGAACAGCCCTTGAAATCCACCTGGTCCGGTGCCCTCATTTTGCGGAGGAGGGAGATAGTGACGCAATGCATCTCTAGTCATTTGACCCCAGGCTTCTCATTGCCTGTTGCTCCTGTCACTGCCTGTATGGGAGCATGGAAGGTTTTAATAATACAGGACGTCCCTTTTAGACGCCTGCTGTGGGAAAGAGAGTGGCTGAGGGAGATAAGAGGTGGCTGGACAATTTCTGGGACTCTGGTGAGATAAAGCGCCTCTCCCACCCGCTGTTAGTCGTGGTTTCCCGCTGGGTTCTCAGCATCTGCTCGGTGCTCAGATGTTTTCCCTAGTCACAGCTAGACATGCAACTGGGCTAAATGAGATGGAATCATAGGTCTGAGGACCTCCTCTTGCCCGTTCCCTGCAAGCAGAAGATTGACTAGATCAACCACTAGAATAGAGCCGGCAGGAAGTAGGGGGCTGTTAGAGGCGTTGGAGCAGGAGGAGCCTGGTGGAGGCAGTGTCTTACGATGGCAGATCCTGGGGTTGAATCGAGTAGGAACTGGGGAAGGCACCAGAGAGAGCAGTGAGGCACAGGAAGAGATGGGCCTCTGAAAGGGAAAGAACAGGCTTTTTTTTTTAGATTATATTTATTTATTTTTAAAGAGAGGGAAAAGGAGAGGCAAAAAAGAGGGAGAGAAATAGCCATCAGTTGCCTCTACGCCCCAAACCGAGGACTGGGGACCTGACCTGCAACCCAGGCATGTGGTGTCGTGCCTTGGAATTGAACTGGCGACCCATCTCAGTCTGCGGGCCAGCACTCAGTCCACTGAGCCACACTGGCCAGGGCAGAACAGACTTTTGCAGTTTCTGTGACTTTGGTCTAGCTCTCAGGTTTGCTTCCTCATTTAGTAATTAGGGGAAATTGCTCCAGAACAACAAAGCCGTGAGTGGGATCTGTGTCTAGTGGTAGAATTTGCTTGGTTGTAGGGAAGGATTTACGTATACTGACTTGTTTTCTCAGAGTCCTGGGTCCTTAAATTTGTCGTGTTCTGACAACCAGGTACTCTTTACTGGTGTGGCAGTGCTGGTCTCAGGGAAGTGAGGATGGCTGAGACGTGGGGAGGGGTGTTTACGACTGCACTGGATCGTGGTTTGAGCCCTGCTCCCTAAAAGGGGCTGGAATCTGTAGACTTGCAAGAGAACATTACAGATTTCAAGTTTACCTCTTAAACCAAATAAGCTGAAAGAGTATAGAGGCCAACACTCTATGTAAACAAAATAACTTCGGCCTGGGTAGGTTCAAAAAATTTTTAAACAATCAATTACCTTTTTAGAATTGTGCTGAACAGTAACATTTCCTCCAGGGGACTCAAAATAGCATGTGATCCCAGCTGGTCAGCGGTAGTACCTATTTAGTTAGCTTGCCTTTCCAGTACGGTTAAAGAGGTCTGGGCAACGGCCTGAGCAAACGAGGAAGATTTAAATCTGGATCTCAGGACAGACACACCTTTTTCTGGATTATTTCCGACTTAATGCCCTGAGCTGTTTCTGGAAAAGGCTCCTTGCCTTTCTCCCCCCTGCACGCGTGTTCACTGAGGATTCCTCTGGTTGCTGGGGTGCTTGTGGGCAGCGACACAGTGAGGCACAGCTTTTCGTACTGGGACTGGAGTGTCTGGGGGAACAGGAACACCGAGTAAGTTGCTGTAGTCCATGTTGGCAAAAGGGCAAGCACGTTCCACTGAGTGCTGACTCAGAACCCAGGCTGGGGATGACTGAGGTCGGAGAGTCATTGCATCTATGTTTAAATGCTATCATGTTCGGTTTTTTAAAAAATTTACTGATTTGTGAGAGAGGAAAAGAAATGTGTGTCACTGTATTCTTCCACTTAGTTATGAATTTGTTGGTTATTTCTTGTGTGTGCCCTGACCCGGGATCGAACCTGCGACCCTGGCATATCGGGACAATGTTCTAACCATCTGACCTACCCAGCCAGGGTCTCGTGTTCAGTTTCGAGCCCTCTGTGGTCCCCAGTTCCCTCCAGCTGTCCAGGGCTGGCTCTCTCTGCTCTGACCTCATTATTCTGGGAAGGTGTACTCAGTTTTCTGGAAGGACCAGCTTACGGATTTTAGAGGGAATACTAAGTTTTTTTCCTACCTAGCCCATGGGGAGACTCACATATTAAGTTTTTGCTTTTCTCCTTTTCATGACTTGCAGTTCGTCTGATGATTGAAAATCCCTACGAGACCCGTTCTGACAGCTTCTACTTTGTTGACAACAAGCTGATAATGCACAACAAGGCCGATTATGCCTATAACGGAGGCCAGTAACGGCCGTGGGCCTGGACAGGGGAGGCACCGTGCTGCAGCCCGAGGTCCTGGCACACGGAAGTGGTTAAAGCTGCTGTGTGGCAACACACACCTGGAACCTGGCCCCAGGAAGCCGAGGCGGCGGTGGCAGTTGCCTGTGCTCCAAGAGAGGTGCCAAGCAGTACTGTGTTTCCTTCCCCAGTATTTTTTTCTTCCCTTTCTTCCCCGCCCTTTAGGTCACAGAGGTACTGTATATAGTAAAGTAAAAGATTAGGTTAAAGTTCTCGGAATTCAGATAAAAAAGGAAGTTTATTTTCACGTAGTCGTAGCTGCCTTCTGGCTGTCCCGACAAGCCTGGGTCTCTGTGCCCGGGTGCGGAGGCGCTGGCTGGCCCGCCTGCAGGTGAGTAGCTCTTCTGTAGGTTCCCAGGTGCTGTGGGAAGCTGCAGGGTCAGCCTCTCCAGGCGTCTCCTCTGATTTCCTGTGTTGCCATCAGCACAACCTGACCTCAGCCTGTGCATAGTTGTAAGCCAGTTGGAAAGAAACTTGAAAGGGCGCAGAGGGAAGGAGGGGTGCGAAGAGGTGGGGCTGGGTACGGCTGCCCACACTGAAAGACCCGTTTTCTGGAGAGGCTGGCTCACCTGTCTGGCTTCCAGGATCCTCAGCCCCGTGGGGCTCCAGCGAGGATGCAGCCTGGCAGTGCCTTCCTGTGCTTGTTCGGGAGGAGAGATGAGCTCGCTCTGCTTTATTGGCTCCTAACTTTTGAGCATCTTGGGAAATAGAATGTTGCTTTGGCTCTTGGAACAGTAGTATCTCTCAAGGCCAGAGCAGGCGTCATTGTATTTTTTTAAATTTCCAGGCTTCCTTATGGGAGGTTTTGTGAAGTCAGTGGTGGTCCCAGTGTGTGTGATGTGCTGTCAGACTTCTGACAGTGTGCAGATCAGGCTCTCAGGGCAAGTCTGGCTCGGGTCCGGGCTGGTGTAGTTACGAAGCAGCAGCTGTGTAAAGGAGGCTTTTGATTTTCTCTGCGCAGCATAGCCTGGGGGACTGGCTTTTGATGGGGTCTTGCCTCTAAAACTTTGTAGATTTCTTATGTAGGGGCATTCTTCTGTCTGCCCGTCTACTGAAGTAGTTTATAGAACCATCCTGGCAGGTCGATCTGAATAATACGTATTTGATCCTTCCGACTTTTTGGGTCTGAGGCCCTCAGCCTGTTTCATCTGTGCGAGTCAGAGATGTGTCCTCAGAAAAGCCGCCTTGCACAGCCCACCACTTGCGTCCTCGGGCCCTTGTCGGACAGACTCTCCTCTCCCGGCGGCTGTCTGACTGTGCAGTAGCCTTAGATGGTCTGTCCAGAGTCCCTGAAGGTTGTTGCTGTGGCCAGGATTTAGCATTGACAGGAAGGTGTCAGTAACTGTAGGAATCTCCCAGTTATGTAGTAGTCACTGTCACAGTGACGGTGACAGGAAAGCTGTTTCCCAAAGTGCTTGGGAGAAAGGCCTTGTGGGGCCAGGGAGAGGGGCCAGCACGTGGCCACAGAGCCCCTGTATTCACTGACTAGTGTTGCTCCTGGTTTGGATTCTAGAGCGTAATGATCTTGAACCTCGGCCCAGTGCTTTGTGCCAGGCCAGGGTCTGGGCTATGCCAGATGCCGATGGCATTCTCTCCGAGAAAGCCCTAGGTTAGCCCTGGGTGCCGGCACTGGGTCCAGCCAATGACGGGAGGAAGACCCCGGGCACCCTGCAGACCGGAGGTATCTCAGAACTGGAGCTGACTGCAAATCCAGGTGCCTGACGGGGCTCTATCCCATCTGCTGCTGGGGAAGGCTGCTTCACCCTTGTCCCTCCCCGCTGGGGAGCAGACATCAGCACTGCTGCTGTGCTGTTTTTCATGTGGCTCCTCTAGCAAGTTGTTCCTGCGGAGCTTCAGAACAAACCCTCTGTAAAGAAGCCCGATCCTGAGAACATCTACTGTTTGATCCTTAATAAGCACCTAGAATATGGGTTCTGGAGCTGCCCAGAGCTCTGCTCAGTAGTGCGTCTTGAAACTGTGTCCCAGGGCAGACTGCGCCCAGTGTACCACGGCTCTTACTGGCAGCATTAGCCTTTGTGCAGAGGGGCCCGCAGGGCAGAGGGGACAGCAGGGCGGAGGGACAGGCTCGAGTCGTGCTGTCCTCTTCCCCTGTAGCTTGCCTTAGTCTCACTGGAGACCTTTTTGAGGCCAAGTGCTCAGACTGCCCCGCACGACAGGGTTTTGCCATCTTCTGTGCCTGAAGGTCTGGTGTTCTCCACCTGCAACTCTGGGTCCTTGTGTCCAGCTACTCAGGAAATCTCGAGAAGCATTACCACTCTGGGGTGTTAACCAGGGTGGGTTTGAAATTTTGTACCTGAACTGGGGAGAGAATTGGAAGTCACGCTTTCTCTGAAAGTATCTAAACCAGTCAACAGTGGAATCAGAACAGAAGCCATGTTAGTGAGAAATTGGACTATTGGTAGCCATTATTTTGTGGGTGATACATTGGGAGGAAAAAGCTCCCTGCTTGGGAGTCCACGCCCTCTTTTCAGAGCTGGCATCCGAGAGGCAGCTCCCAGAGGGAGCACATTCCAGCGGATGGCCGGCCGCCCGGTCCCACGGGGCCCGCTGCCTGCACCCCTTCCTCACCCATTTTGCTCTTGTCCCTCTGCCTTGGAACCTCCTGGGAGAGAGCCGCTCTTTTCCTGTGAAGCCTTTGGGCTAAGACGTCCCATCTTCTCCAGAGACAGTCCCGGTTTGTTTTGTTCTGTGTTCTAAAGAGTAAAGAGGAACTAACAACATGCATTAGCTCGAAGTTGCCTTGCAGAGAAGGCGGTGCAGCCTGAAGACACCCACTGACTTTGGCCTCCGATTCCCAGACACGGGCAGCGCTCTGGGCCTGATCGTAGCCTAGTCACTCTCGAAATGGCAGTCACTGGGGAATCTTCCACTTTCTCCAGGTGAAGCGAAGCTCACCGTGGAGTGGATTTAACAGGCTGTGCCGAAGGTTCAGAGAGGGCGAATCTTACCATAGTGTGTTCTGCCGCCCTGGTAGGCTCCCAGGGTGCTCTTTTTTCCCTCTGTAAAGTCACTTTCTTCTGAGGGTCATTGTCACCAGAAGGTCTGGGGAATGGGGACCATCTGTCCTAAAAATCACAGCACAGACTCACTACTGGTGCATGAGGGTTCCTGACAGAGGGTGCCACTGGGTCAGGTGCGGGGGGCCTGGTCACTGAACCGTCACATTGCATTCCGGGTTGTGGAACATCTGAGCCACGGGCGGATTTTCTGTGTTTTACAGAAGATCATGTAGAGTCACTGAAGTTGTGAAAGCCTGTTTTTCCTGTAAATCTGTTTTTCACAGATGATAAGAAACATCACTGACCTGATCTGTCCTTCCTCCTCTTTCCCCTTCACCAAAGGACCTCATTCGTTTGTTTTTTTTTTTTTTTCTGTTCTGCTAACTGTGTTATAACCAACAAAAGAGTACAGAGAATGCCTTGTACAAAACAACACGATAAAGGTTCAAGATCAAGGTGTTCCTTTAGGCAAGGCTGAAGATTTCAGTCTCTGGTATTTGGAATTTAGGCTGCAATCCTCGTTTTTGGATGGATCACTGGGGGTGTGGTGCAGTTCACTTTAACCAGATTTGAACAGAAGAATGGCCACTTGGCCCAGGTAGAAGTAGATGAAGTGTTTGGTTTCATGTGTCACGTAACTACCGAAGTTCCTCCCCAGGGTGCCGTGTCGGGTGGGGTTGTCCTTCTTGTGAAACTCCCTCCCTTTTTTCCGGATCAGTACAGAAGGTTTATTTAGTGTTACAGAGATGGCAGAAGTGAGTCAGCTGGGCTGTGGGGGCTCAGGAGGCAAGTTCCAGAGGCTGAAGCAGGGTCTTAGGAGAGAGAAAGGCAAAGGGAAGGTGCCCGGGGGCAGGAAGACGGGCCAGGGTGTACAGATGATGTGTTTTGGAATTGTGCACCTGAAACCTATGTAATTTGTTACCCAGTGCCACCCGATAAGTTCAATAAACAGAAAGACGACAGTAGAAGAGGGGGCGGGGGAGGTGCAGTGTGTGCCCGAGAGGGAGAGTGCCTCCCACGCGGCTTAGTGGGCTGCAGCACCCTTCTCTGCGTTGTGTTTCTGCAACGCCTGAGTGGCACATTCCACGGAGTCCTGTTGCCTCTCCTCCAACACACTGACATTTTCAATCGCCGCCGTTCGGGCGCACGTGGGAACAACGGAGCCGGGCTGGCGGCCCCAGGGCTGCGGCCCGGCCTTCTCCCTCATTCCAGTTTTCACTGTCTTTGTGCCCAAAGTAAACTAGATGACTTATTTGTATAAAACTATTTTGTCACAAGAGACAGAAATAAAAGATTTTCACAGTATGTGACTCTCGTCTCCTGACTGGGCCCTTTGGTTGCTGGGGGAGCAGGTGTGGGGCAGGGTGGCCTCTTTGCAGGTAGTTTGAACAGGACTGGTTTCAGGTGACTGGGGAATGGTATTGGGCTTTAGGTTTAATATTTTTGCTTTATTTTGCTGGGGGCCTTTGAGAATTCAAAATTTCGATGCATATTTAAAAGCCCTGGCTGGTGTGGCTAAGTGGATTGAGCACCGGCCTGCCAACTGAAAGGTCACAGGTTCGATTCCCAGTCATTGCACAAGCCCGGGTTGGAGACCAGGTCCCTGGTTGGGGGCCTGTGAGAAGCAACCTGTGGATGTTTCTCTACACATCAATGTTTCTCTCTCTCAAAATAAATAAGTAAAATCTTAAAAAAAAAAAAAAAACAACTCAAAACTTAAGCTGTGCTTTAACTACAGTAAAATTCACCTAGTTTAAGAGTACGGTTTAATGAGGGTTGACAAAGGTATACAGTTTTATTACCCCCATCATGGTCATGATACGGAGCATTTCCGTCACCCCAAAAAGTTCCCTCAATCCCTGGTGTCTGTGGCCAGTTCTTCCACCACAGCCCCTGCAATTCCTCGTTGGATCTGCCTCTCGGAGAACTTGCACACCTTTCCTACGAAATGGGTGTCAGTGTTTAAGGTCACGGATAATTCATTTTATTTAAAAACAAAACAAAAAACTATGGTCACTTGAGGATTTCATTGCTTTTAGAGACAGAAACATCGATGGGAGAAAGAAGCATCAATTGGTCCCTCCCAGCCACACCTGGGCCAGGGGTCCTGCTGGTCCTACCTGGGGCCACATGCACCCGGGACTGAACCCGCAGCTTAGGCCTGTGCCCTCACTTGGAATCAGACCTGCAGCCTTTCGGTTACAGGATGATACTCTAACCAACTGAGCCACACTGGCCAGGGCCACAGTTCAGTTTTAAAATATGTCTGGTTTAAATGGTCTGGGGCACCTGCAGTGACCATTGGCTTCTGTCCATAAACATGCTCACTCACTCCTCCCACTTTCCCCAGGGCTAATGGCCCTGTGGGGTGATGGAAAGGTGGAGATGACCTTATTTGTTTGGCTTTAAAGTACTGTGGACTAGCGGAGGCTTTCTTTTAAGTTTAAACCTTTTTTTTTTTTTTTTAAGGGAAGGAGGGAGAAAATGTGTGGTTGCCTCTCATGTGCCCCAAGTGGGGACCTGGCCAGCAACCCCAGCATGTGTCCTGATTGGGAATCGAACTGGCAACCCTTTGGTTTGCAGGCCAGCACTTAACCACACCATCCAGGGTTAAGCCTTTCTTTCAAATGAGAGATAACAAATTAATGACTTTGCTGTATCTTTTGACTCATCTCCAGGAGGTAGAAGAAGGTTTTGGCAGAAGACAAGAAAATTTTTTTAAATAAACAACAAATTTACTTCCCAGATGTAGAGGCTGGGAAAGTCCCGATCAAGGCACCAGCAAATCGGGTGTCCTCACATGGTGGAAGGGTGGCAGAAGACCACTTTTGGCTTGTGGGTTAGTGCTGGGGAAAGATGCCTGGGGGAGTTACGGGGGGAGAACGGCAGCCGGAGTGACGTGTGGTGCCTGGGAGGGTGTGGAAGTCTGACTCCCACGTGTGTCCGGGGAAAACCCTTGTCAGGTGAAATTGCCGTAGCTTCTTGGGCAGCAGGAAGGCATTCGGAAGAGGATGCTGAGGACCGAATGAACGGCACTATGAGGCAGGGCCCCCTGCTCCCAGGCCACTCTGTCCCACGATTGGGAGTGAGACAGATGGGACTGCAGTGGCACAGGGAAGTGGCAGTGCCCCTCCACCTTCACAACTTCTGGGGGAAAGAAAGCTTTCCAGCAACCCAATTCTCAAGGCCTAAATATCAAGCACCAGAGCAGGACAAAACTCTTTGCCCCTCTTGGGGTTCACAGACTATTGGGGGACTCGATAAGATTTCACATGCTAAGGGTCAACGAATATAAAAAAGCCAAACACGGGGTAGAGAATGCACGGGAGCAGCACGAGCCTCCCAGGGTTAGGCAGGCCTCGGTGAGTGGGATCTGAATGAAGGGCATTCCAGCCGAGAGAACGGGGATGATAGAGGCCCAGAGGCTCGAACAGGCTAGTTGTCTTGCAGCTGCCGCTCGCCTTTCCCACAGTACCTCAGGAAAAGAAAAAAAACAAAAACAAAAAAAAAAGTAAGAGGACCTTACCTCCTAGACGTCACAGACACCAGACTGGTTTTATCTTCACGAAGCGAGGCGGGGCAAGGGAGGGGCCGCAGCAGGGGCCGCGGCAAGCCCCGCCCCCTAGACCTGAGGGGCGGGGCCCGTGACCGGCTAGAGCCCGCCCCCAGCAGCCGGAAATGCCTGCGGGGGGAGTCTAGGAGATAACCCTGCACCTTCTCCGTTCTCCATGGCCTGCTCCGCGCTGCTTGCCCGGGCCTACGGCCCCATCCGCCGAGGTGAGTGTTCTCCGACTCCGTACAGCGGCGCCTCGGCCCGGGTCTGGCCAAGCGGGCGGGTCCCCCTCTAAAGCGTGCGTGGCCTTTGCCCCAGTTCCGTTGCATCTCGCGCCTGCGCAGCCGGGCCCTAAAGTGACAGCTCTTGCTCAGACGACCACCCCCAGCCCAGTTCTCAGGGCTGCGGCTGCATTTTCTCCCCTCATTTCACCCCCCAGTGGAGATTCAGGGTGCGTCCTTCCAACAGAGCCAAGCTTGGGATTGAACCCACAGTCTGAATCTGTGACCTTGGGCAAGATGCACAGTCCCCACCAGCCTCAATTGGCCCCTGTGTAAAATGCCCACAATAGTATCTTACTATTCTTACAGAGTTGTAAGGATTAGATCACAGGATATGTAAAACACTTAATACAGTGCCCGGCACAAAACACCACCCAGTAAATGTTACCTCCTTTCCCATGTTACCATTTCTCTCCAGCTGGAGCTTCCATGACACTCATGTCTAGGGCTTCCTGTCTAGGGCTTCCTTTGCCTGGTCAGACCCAGTCGCCCTGGGCAATAACAAGAAAGGGAACCCTCACTGAGAGCTGTCTATACCAGGCCATGTGCTAAATGCTACAGTTAGTATCTTTTAACCTCCTATCCTCAGATACTCAACGCTGTTGTCCTCCACCCTAAATGTTAGCCCGAGGCTCTGTGAAGTTAAGACCCTTGCCTAAGGTCACAGAGCTGTGCTCTGACTGGTCTCCGTGGCATTGTACTGAAGGACTGAGTGGGAGGGTGGATCTGAAGTCTTTAGCAAGCATTGTAAACAGTTACTGTGGGGGTTCTCAACAGCACACTGTTGATTGACATTTTGGGCTGATAATTTTTTGCTGTGGCGACTGTCCTGTGTGTTGTTAAGATGTTTAGCAGCGTCCCTGGTCTCTAGTCTCTCCATACCATTTCCCTATGCAATTGTGACAGCCAAAAATGTCTCCAGACATTGCCAAATGTCCCTTGGCGGGGGCGGGGGGGGGGGGGGGGGGAGCAAAACCATCCCTGGTGGCAGACCAGTGAGGTAGTGGATCACTGTTATCGTAATTGCACAAGACCTTGCGAGCCCCTTCTGCGGACCCCCACTGTTCCCTCCAGCAGCTCTCCGGCGTCAGTTACACACCATCTACCAGACTGTGGAACTGCCTGAGACGCACCAGATGCTGCGCCAGACATGCCGGGACTTTGCTGAGAAAGAGCTGGTTCCCATCGCGGCCAAGGTGGACAAGGAGCACCACTTCCCTGCGGCTCAGGTGAGAGTTCCAACCTCATCCACCCATGATGGAGGTCTGCCCTGGGCTCCTGGGTGAGTGGTGACGGTGACAGTCAGGGACACTGAGACTCCAGTCAAGGAACCCTAACGCAGGTCTGGGGACCCAGGAAATGCTCTGAAGTTTCCCTTGTCCAGAATGAGGTCTGTAGCAGGACTGTACTTCTGGAATAACAAAAATAATGGTGAACGTTGACCTGCTTACCACATGGCAGGCATTGTGTTAATAATAATATTCGAAGTGTTGGCTTCTTGCCATGTGCTAGGCACCGTCTTCAGGGCTTGGGAAATGTGCGCCCGTCTGCTTCCCACAGCCGTGCCACAAGGTGACAGTGCTGTTGTGTACCGTAAGGAACGCCTGATGCAGCTCAGGTTGGCGAGAGGGCTAGAAAATATGCCCAAGGTCGGACAGCCAATGAGCTGCAGGGCTAGGCCTTGCACCCAAGTCTGTCTTCTGCCAGACTAGGGTCCCAGTCAGGATTGTCCCTCCCCTGCCATCGTGTGCCCTCCATTTGTGTCAGTCCATCCGGGATGGCAGGGTTAAGATGTCCCTGCTGGCCCTGGCCAGGCAGCTCAGTTGGTTAGAGCATTGTCCTAATATGCCAAGGTGGTGGGTTCAATCCCCCATCAGGGCACATAAGAGAATCAGCCAGTGGGTTGGGCGTCATCCCACAAACCAGAAGGTTGACGGTTCAATTCCGCTCAGGGCACATGCCTGGGTTGCAGGCCAGGTCCCTGGTTGGGGGTGTGCAAGAGGCAACCGGTCAGCGTTTCTGTCGCCAGCACGAACATGTTAAACCTGTAATCAAGGCAAATGAAAATCAACACCACTTTCTCCCCCTGAGCCCTGCTTCCCAGAGGCAGTTGGTTTCAGCTGCTTCTTCCTGAAGCCAGGTCGGTTCTGCTGTGCGCCACATTTCTCAGGTGAAAAGCAGGCTTGCAGAGGGTAAGGAATTTGTTCTGGGTCAGAAGGGCAGAGCTAGGCCGTGTGCTGAGCTGGTTCAAACCCTGGCGTCATTGCTCAGTTTCAGTCCCAGCTGCCTCACGTACAAGCTCTGAGCTCCGCTTTCCTTACCTGTGTCGGGAGGCTGACTCAGTGCCATTCTCACAGAGACTCACACGGAAGAGTACAAAGCACTGAGGCAGAGTTTGGCACGTCGTAGGCACTTGATAGTTCACCGTTATCGTTATCGTTACTCCACATCAGAAATCCCAAGCTCTTACTGTTCATTCATTCTCTCACTGCCTTGGGAACACAGCAGTGAGCAAAGACACACAGTCTGCCCTCGTGGTCAAGGAGAAAGACCTTAATCAAAATGAGCACAAAAGTAGGTGACCTTCCTGCTGCATAAGCATTGCAGAGGACAGGTGCAGGCACGGTGAGAGGGTGTGGTGACAGGATTTGACTCAGTGAGGGCTGAGGTGGATAGCACCTAGTTGATAGAGGTCATTACCCACAGGGAACGGCATGAGCAAAGGCCCTGTGGTGGGGAAGGGGGTGTGTGTAGTGTGCTTAAGGGACTGAAAGAAGATCGCTGTGTGTGACGCTGCCATGTGTCTCACCTTGGAGGCTCCTGAAGGCTTCCTGTGCCTTCTGCCTGCTCACTGGCTGTGGCTGCAGACGGAGGTGAGGAGCCAGTGCGGAGTGTGGGGACAGGATGGCCCGAGTGCATGGTGCTGTCGCTCATGCCTTAGCTGAGGCTGGGTCTCAGGGTCTGGACTCACGGATCATTGGGGGAATGGGTGGGTGGGGCCACAGGGACTGGCTCAGGGGCAGGAGGGTTTGGGGCTCTGAGGGAGGGCACTAGCTGCCAGCTGCTATTGCCGAGACATCCTTTCCTGAGACCAGGTGAAGAAGATGGGCGCACTTGGGCTTCTGGCCATGGACGTGCCGGAGGAGCTGCGCGGCGCTGGCCTCGACTACCTGGCCTACGCCATCGCCATGGAGGAGATCAGCCGGGGCTGTGCCTCCACCGGCGTCATCATGAGTGTCAACAACGTGAGTCCCCTCTCCAACCTGGGGGCCCTTGGGCAGGCAGTCGGGGATGGGCAGGCACACATCCCAACATGCAGACCATGGTTCCCAGCTTCTGACTTCCTCTGGACTGGGTCCTTCAGGCTCTGGAGAGAGCAGGCCTCTCAGTGGGGCCCACAGGAGGGCAGGTGTGCCTGGGCTGGAAGGCCTCTGACCGCTCCCCTCTGTCCCCACAGTCCCTCTACTTGGGGCCCATCCTGAAGTTCGGCTCCAAGGAGCAGAAGGAGAAGTGGATCACGCCTTTCACCAGTGGCGACAAGATTGGCTGCTTTGCCCTCAGTGAACCAGGTGCTGCAGTAGGACAGTTGTCTCTCTGTCCCCTCCCCTCAGAATTGGGGTGACAGTCAGGCTGCCCCTGGGGGAGAGGCAGGAGCTGGGGCCTGTGCTGACCTGGGTGGTCACCTCAGCCGAGCTGGGAGGGACGCTTGGCCCTGGGGTCCCTTTGGCCTAAAGCTGCCCAGCTGCAGCACACCGCCCTCCCTCCCCCTTTGCTCTGAATGCTTCGGGGGCTGGCGTAGCCTTGGAGCTTCCTCTCGGGGAAGACCCTGACTCTTTGGAGCCTGACTGTGCTCGCCAGCGGTGGGCTGGGGCTGGGTTCCCTGCTGAGTTGGCAGCCGTGCCCTTGGGTGGCAGCGGGTAGAGGTGGCCTTGGATTCTGAATCTGCGTATGGGGCAGGGAATGGCAGTGACGCAGGAGCCGCCTCCACCACCGCCCGGGCAGAGGGTGACTCATGGGTCCTGAACGGCACCAAAGCCTGGATCACCAATTGCTGGGAGGCCTCGGCCACGGTGGTCTTTGCCAGCACCGACAGGTCCTTGCATAACAAGGTGGGGACCCCAGAGATGGAGCCGGAGCCAGTGAGGCCTCTGGGCTGTAGTCATTTCGTAGTTTCTAGATCCAAGTCTCCCCGGCCTGATGGAGCAGTTTCTGCTCTGGGGCACCTTGGGGTTTCCCTTTTCCTCTCCTCCCTGCCCTTGGCCTGGAGCTGATGTCTGCACCTTCCTGGAGGAGCCAGCAGAGAGTGGCCTTCGGGAAGTGGAGGGAAGGGCTGGGGCTTGTGTCTGGTGTGGTTTGGTGAGGGGCGTGGCCTGGGGCAGCCTGTGGGGAAATCACTGCCTGGATTTTCTGCTCTTTCAGGGCATCAGTGCCTTCCTGGTTCCCATGCCAACACCTGGGCTGTCCTTGGGAAAGAAGGAAGACAAGCTGGGCATCCGGGCCTCGTCCACGGCCAACCTTATCTTTGAGGACTGTCGAATACCCAAGGAAAACCTGCTGGGGGAACTGGGGATGGGCTTCAAGATAGCCATGGTGAGCCCGGCAGCGGGACTGGGGGCCCTGGGTTGAGGCCCTGGGGCCCAGCTGGCCAGCCACTGACCAGGAGGTCCCCACAGCAAACCCTGGACATGGGCCGCATTGGCATCGCCGCCCAGGCTCTGGGCATTGCCCAGGCCGCCCTTGACTGTGCTGTGAACTACGCTGAGAACCGCAGGGCCTTTGGGGCGCCCCTCACCAAGCTCCAGGGCATCCAGGTAACAAGATGGAGACTTCAGCAGCCCAGCCCGGGCCCTGGAGGGAGGGCACTGGCTTTCACTGCTCCCACGCTCGCCTCTCCTCCCTCGTGTCCTTTGAGGGAGGGAGGGGCAACTACTGACTGGGGGTTTGGGGCCTGGTTGTTGCAGTTCAAGTTGGCGGACATGGCCCTGGCCCTGGAGAGTGCGCGGCTGCTGACCTGGCGTGCTGCCATGTTGAAGGATAATAAGAAGCCTTTCACCAAGGTGCCTGCAGGAACAGGGCTCCCCCAGCATGGGCCCTCTGGTGGGCCCAGGGACTGAGGGAGCAGTCTGGGCAGGGTCCCAGTCCTTGGGCCTGCCACCACTGAGGGGCTTGCGCTAGGGGCTCCCCGCAAAGTAAAGCTTCTGACCCCACTGTCTTCTGTGGTTAGGAGGCAGCGATGGCCAAGCTGGCTGCATCAGAGGCCGCAACTGCCATCAGCCACCAGGTGAGTGTCCCTGGTGCATGGACGCGGTGCCCAGGCGAGGCCCCAGGGGTGAGGAGAAGTCTCAGTCACCCCTCCCCCACTCTTTTATGTGGCTGATCCTCCCCCTGCCTTTCCCACACTGGGGGCTCTTCTCCCTCCCGAGCCCCTGCTTCTCACCGTAGGCCATTCAGGTCCTGGGTGGCATGGGCTACGTGACAGAGATGCCGGCCGAGCGGCACTACCGTGATGCCCGCATCACCGAGATCTACGAAGGCACCAGCGAGATCCAGAGGCTGGTCATCGCGGGGCACCTGCTCAAGAGCTACCGGAGCTGAGCCCCCCCGGCCGGGCCGACCACTGCCCCACCCAGCACCGCGCTGGCCGGAGGACCGTGGGCAAGGGAGTGGGAGCCATGCAGCCTGCCCCAACTCTCAGACCCCATGGGGAGGACAGGCCACCCAGGCCTTCTGGTGTGGACCTCTGCCTGCCCAGGGCCAAAGTGCCAGGTCTCGGGAGAGGAGAGGTGAGGTGAGGTGAGGTGAGGTGAGGCCCTGTGCCTGAGGGCCCCCACCTGCAGCTTTGTTTCTTGGCCTTGCTCCCCCGTCACAACTGTGCCTTATTTTCTTCATCAGGGCCGCGGGAAGAGCTAAGTAACTCCTTTGGGGCTCCCTGGCTTCCGTGGGCCCTGGAGCTCAGCCGGAGACCCAGTGGGCCTGGGTCTTGGCCGTGTCTGTTCTTTTCAATGAGGCCGGGGGCCAGGAGGAGGAGGAGGAGGTGGGGGTGAGAAGGAACAGGCCTCAAGTAGCAGAAGCTGTGCTCTCTCAGGCCCGGGGCTGCGCCATTAGAAACACCATGACGTGTTCTTTGTGATGTATCAACGTGTGCCAGCGGCTGGTCTGGTTTGGGCTTTGGGACCGTCACGTGTGGGAACTAATAAAGCATACCTGTCCCCGAGCCTTGTGTCTGCGCCTGCGTGCTGCTGGGGGGGACGGGGTCCTTTTGTCGACTTTCTGACAAAGGCCTCTGTGTGTGTGTGTGTGTGTGTGTGTGTGTGCGTGTGTGCAACTGTGACAAGGGGGTCTGTCTGCCCAGGGAGAGCCCCAGAGCTCCAGTCGGAGGAAGGGTTGACCCAGGTCACACAAGCGAGGAGCTGGGTCCAGTGGGCCTGGGTGTGTGTCCAGGTGCCAGGTGGTCTGGGGAGGGGGACCCGGGGAAGGAGCAGAGCTGGTTCAGGGCCCCATGTGCGTAGGTGGAGACTTCAAGCCCCCGTTTTTCAAGCTCACTCTCTGAGTGGGCACAGTGGGCCAGCACCGAGTCTGTGAGTGAGGGCCCCTGCCCGAGGGCTGGCTTTGCGCCGCCGAGGCACCTCTGCAGCCGGAGCCCAGGCGCTTCATCTGCGTGGTCCAATGAGGTGGGTGAGTGCAGAGAAAACAAGAAAGAGCAAACCCAGACTCCCAAGGAGGTGGGCACAGCACTCCCAGAGCAGGAAGGGCAGGTGGCTCAGCTGTCATTGCTGAGAGGTCTCTGCAGGGGAGGACAATAGAGAGATGACCCATGTGAAGCCACCACCTAATGGGCACCGAACAGTGGCCGTCACTGTGTGTGGGTTTTCGCGCCAGGCCCTGTGCGGCCGCCTCTGACCCCCCTTCCCCCCGCCATGCTCCCCCGAGCCGTTTGCCCTGGAGGCACAGAGTGGCCCCTGCCTGCTACTGTCATTGGCCCCTCAAGGCCCAGGAACTTTCCAAAAGGTAGGATGGCGGGCCTGACCACACCTCTCCTGACCCCTGATCAGGAGAGGCCTGGCCCTGAGCAGGGAGACTGGGTTCCCACCTGGCTGTGTGCTGCCCAGGACTAAGGCTCAGATGGGCTCCCTCTGCTTCCCTCTGAGCCTCGAAGTCCCCTCCTGCTCCACGCTACCTGGACGAATGCCCCAAAGGCAGCTGCAGCCCCCCACCTGTTCCCTCGTCCTCCTCCGGGCCAGGGGGCCCCATGCAGCCACCTAGACACTCCCTCTCCAGGGACTCAGGGACTCAGGAAGTCACCTTTATCTGCTCCCAGGTGAGGCGGGTCAAACCTGGCTGCTCCGGGGAGAAGCCCTGAAGGCCTCCCAGCTCACCGCGAGCTGGAGGAGGCTCAGTCTACCCAGCCTCCAGCTGCCCACTCCACCCCCTCAGGGCTGCACTGCAAGGCTGGCCTTGACCTCGGCAGGATCAGAGACCCCAGCGGGCAGTGCCCCCACGCCCAAGCAAAGGCTCCCTTGCAAGGGGCTCCCTTGGCACAAACTGTGGGCCAGCACCTGGCCTTGGGAGTCCTGGAGGGGGCTCGGAGGGCGGAGGGCCCCGCAGGGCAGAGAGGAGCTCCTTGCGGGAATTGAGGTCCTGATTTCCACCACCTGCAGGCAGATGCTCGCCAGCTGGCCGGGTGGGGCACGGGGCACAGGTGAGGTAGTTTTGAGGATGAGACGCTGCCCCGTGGTTGCACTCAGCTCCCTGCTGGCTCCAGAGGTCCGGTGGGCCAGGGCAGCAGCCAGGGCTGTGCCTCCTCCCGCTCCAGGTAAGCACCTTGCTGACACCTTCCGTGGGGCTCCTGGGGGCCCTTGTCCCCGCTCTGGGCTGAGATGCCAGCAGAAGGTGCAGGGAGCTGGGTGGGCTTCAGGGCTACGCCCCCCCCCCCCCCCGGGGCAGCAGCCAGGTTTGACCCGCCTCAGGTGAAGGCCTGTGAGCTGCCGGAGTCCCTGACAGGCAGCCCCATGAGGCCTGCGGGCCCAGAGGAGGGTGAGGGGACAGTTGTATGCGACAGTTGTATGCGAGGATTCCAGGAAGAAACAAAGGGGGGTTCGTGAACTTTGCCTTGCTTCCCAGGTCCCCTTGAGAAGGAGGGGGTGGGGGTGGGGGTGGGGGTGGGAGCCCGCACTGTGGAAGAACACAGGTTATAAAAATGGGGGCCGCAGAGTCTGAGGAGGGCCCTGTGTCGGGGAGACAGGGCTAGAGACAATTTTCCTGAGACTTGAAGCTTATACAGTTTTGGGGGTTCTCTTTCTTTTGAAAAAATTTATTTTAATTGTTGTTCAAGTACAATTTTCCGTCTTTTACTCCCATCCCAGCTCACCCCCCCCCCAAGTGCTCCCCACCTCCCTCCCATTTCCACACCCCCCGGAGGTTCTCTTTAAGGAAAATCAGAGATATTGCAAAATTCGATAGAGAGCCTTGGAGAGGAGCACAGTAGCCTTTCGGTAAACCTCTCACTGACCTGGTGGCAGTGAATTCAACTTGAAAGCATAGGTGGATTTTCTTGCTCTGTGCTTCGGAAAGGCCTAGAAATAATAATGATAATAATAATAATAATAATAATACCCTTATAGGAAGGAGCCCACCTGCTGCTTAGAGTTTGTTTTGTAAATATTGGGTTGGCCAAAAAGTCGGGTTAATTTTTTTTTGAACAACGGCTCTAGTAGTGCTTAGTTGTCTTGAATTTCATTCGAAACGGTTTTGTTAGATTGTATTGTGCCAGCTGTCATATCATCAAACATATCAAAATTGGTGAATTTTTGTGAAGTTATTTAAAGTTGAAGATGGAAGAAGATAGGTAATATTTTTAGCATATTGGCTTGGCCAGAAATCTGTGTGGTTTTTTCCTTAAAATAAGATACATTTTTCATTTTCACCACTAACTTTATTGATTTCGGTATTTTGAGTGTGTTGGCTCTCTCCTGCTGTTGGCTTCTAGTGGATAGAGGCCGGGGGTGCTGCTAAACATCTTCCAATGCATAAGACGGCCCCACAGCAAAGGATTATTTGGCCACAATGTCAATAGGACCAAGGAAATTCGCAAACCACTTTGGAAACATCCGATCAGTCACAGAATCTTCTTCCTTCACTGCACAAACCTTTTTTTGCATTTCCGTTGCATTTTTACCTTTCTTGAAATAATAAAGCATAACCCACATGATAAAGCATGCTAATTTAAAAACAAGCTGCCCTGGCTGGTGTAGCTCAGTGGACTGAGCGCGGGCTGCAAACTAAAGGGTTGCCAGTTTGATTCCCAGTCAGGGCACATGCCTGAGTTGTGGGAAAGTCCCTAGTAGGGGCCACGTGAGAGGCAACCATACATTGATATTTCTCTCCCTTCCCCTCTCTCTAAAAATAAATAAAATCTTTACAAAACAAACAAAAAAGCAAAGGACAGTCATTGACCCTACAGGACGGTCACCCAAATCGGGAAGCTCACCCCAGGTAAACTGCTTGTCTACAGACCTTGGTGACCATTGGCCAATCGTCTCAATGTCTTCCATAGCAATTTTTTAGATGTTTTCTGAAAAAAAGGTTTCATTTATTTTTAGAGAGAGGGGGAGGGAGGGAGAAGAGGGGGAATCATCAATGTGAGAAAGAAACATAGATGGGTTGCCTCTCACATGCCCCCACCTGGGGACTTGGCCGGAAACCCGGGCATGTGGGTATCCTGACCAGGGACTCAAAGCAGCGATCTTTTGGTTTTCGGAAGACACCCCGCCCACCGAACCACTGCAGCCTGGGCCTTCGCCATGTTTTTTTAAGGTCCAGGCTTCCATGTTGTATTTATTTGGGAGGTCTCTTGTTTCCTTTACTTGAGGATAGTTTCTGAGACTGAATTTATTGGCCGTGACATTGACCTCTGAGGCATCCGGTCTCTCAGGCTAGGTTAGTCTGATGGTTTCGCCACAATTAGATGCGATCAGTGCATTTCTGGCAACGACAGTGCCGCGAAGTCCTTATTTTATTTCTGACTTCAATGCTTAGCATTTAATCTTTTTCTTAATCAATCTGAGGTTTATCACTTATTTTTGTCTTTCAAAAGAACTTTTGACTTTAGTAACTGACATTCAGCATCACAGTTTTAACATTCCTTAAATTGGGGTAAAATTGACACGCATTCTTGATTTCGGGTACACAACCTGACGATTCGATATCGATTATACGGGCGGACCGCGTTTCATTGCGCATCCTTTACTGAGTCTCGAAGATGCTGCATTTTTAACAAATTGAAGACAAGAGCCTCCGGCAGCAAACGACCACGACCCGCTTTATTGGGGTGATGTTGGGGAATAACTGCCAGAATAAATCTGGTTAACATCCATCGCCTCACGTAGGTCCAGGACTTTTGTCTTGGGACAACTTTTAAGATCTCCTCTCTTAGCAACTTTCAAATGTGTGATGCAGAGTGTCGTTACTGTGACGAGGCTGTACCTACGCCCCCAGAATTGCGTTTTCAAGTGAATTTTATTTCAAAGCTTTGTTTCCCTCTGCTTTCTTTTTGGATTCAATATGCTATTCTTTTTCTCCCTTCCTTGGATGAACGTTCATTGATGTTTTTTCAGCCTTTTTTTCCTTATAAGTTTAAAGTGATACATTTCCCTCCAAGCATGGCTTTCGATTTATTTCATGAGTTTCAGTATATTGTGTTTTTCATTATCACTCAGTTTTCTGAATTCCACTGTGCTCTTCTCCTTGGACTTAGCCGTTATTTAGAAGAGTATTATTTGACAAACATGATTTTCTTCTATATTTTTTGTTAATGAGTTTTTAAAATTGCAGCTAAGGTGCCCATAACATAACATTTGCCATTTTAACCACTTTTCTTGGGGAGAAGAGCGCAATTCAGTGGCACTGAGTACGTTGACAGGGTTGCGGGGTCACTGCCGCTGCCTAGGCCCTGAATGTCCTCACCCAGACGGAGCCCTGTGAGGAGTGAGTGAGTCCACACTCACGTTCCGTGCTCTGGTGCAGGCCTGTGAGGGATAGTCCCTCCCCGTCCGCTCTCTCTTCCTCCCTGTCGGTCCCAGGGGGCCACCAAAGTATTAAATAAGAAAGCACAATACGCTGAAAATATTGCATATTTTCTTCCGTCTTCAATATTAAAATGGCTGCACAAAAATTCACCGATTTTGATCTATTTTTTTGAAAACATGCATGCTGAGA